TAGCTGACTATTCATTCCATACCTAGGTGAGTAGCGTTTCTAGAGTGAATCAAATACTTTCAAGTAGGGTAGGCAGGTAGTATATGAATGATGATGCGATAATCGATTATGTATGTATTTGAATAACCCTCTCTTTTTTTTTTTTGGATCTTCCTTGGGAATAAAAGAAGTATAAAAATTATCTGAGCATATCTTACTCTCCGTCCATCTATGTTGAGAGCTGACCCGCTAGTATCGTTTTGTGAAGGAGTTGTTCAGGATGTATGAAATGTGTGCGTGTGTAATAAGTACGTGAGTGTATGTGTATATGTGTTTGTGTGTATGTATATGTGCGAGTGAGTATGTATGATGGGATGGATGGGATGGATGGGATGGGATGGATGAGATGGATGGGATGGATGGATGGGGATGAGTTCAAAGTTGTGGGCGGGAAGTAAAATGCAAGTGAAATGGCAAGGGCAGATGAAGGAAGTGATACCGACGCTGGGCTGGAAATGACTACGCTAAATTCGATGGTGCAGGGTTATAATTTTTTAGTGTCATTTTAATGCTTGATATGCTTGAAATACTAGTCACTTAGTAAGGTTGCTTAAAATGTGTGTGTATGGGTGTGGATACTTTAAATGTACTATGGACAGTGAGTGTACCAAAGAAAAAGATGATGTTGGAACCTCTCTTTTTATCCCTCGTAGGTCTTCATTTAATTAATTTCGCCGGTGGGTATATTCGGAGAGAGAACTTGCAACATTTACGAGGAAGATGGAATGAGGGCGAAGAGATAATCAGTGTGAGTACACAGTGTGATTTCATGAAGGAGGTGTGCCTAGGTTAGAGAGGGAGTCGAGTCGAGAAGCAGAGAACAGGAAGAAGAAGAGCGACCAAGAGATACCAAGGACTAGTACTAGTACCGTTACAAAGGTAAAAAGGTGCGAGGGAGGGATGAGGGAGGGATGAGGGAGGGATGAGATCTATCGGTCGGTATTGATATTCTACCAAAGTGGAGTAGAGAGTGATCGATCTATTTATCAAGTAGGGGTTAGTTTGTGTATAGTCACAACCCATTTAGTCATAGTCAATCATTCAAGCTTTCAACCTTTCACATAGAGGAGTACCGAGGATACTGTACTGTATGTATGTATGTACAGAGAGAGTAATAATGTACGAGGTTTGTTCCTTTTTTTCCACATGTTTGTTGTGATTGTTTGCAAAGTGGCTGTCGCGCGAGGTATACAACGCAATACAATGTCGAGGTAGGGTGAGAGGGCGAGAGAGTGGGTACTGTATAATCAAATATCAAATATCAAGTATCAAGTACTCAACTAACTGCCACCCTAGTCGATTCCTATTGTATCACATAAATCCATAGGGTTTGATTCGTATCTTTTGAATCATTTGGAGAACAGAGAACAGAGACCGTTAAGCGCCCATTGTCATTCGGGAAATATCAAATCATGAATCCTACAAAATCAAATGTGAGCCTCTTCCCAGTCTACCTGCCTAGGTACTCACGTAACTGCTCACCCATCTCTATACCGACACCTATATCTATCTACATGTGATCTACGACTACCCCAAGAAAACGAATCGATCAATCGTATTTCAAGGTCCATTCATTACCTGCCCAGGTACTTGCTATACTCGATTGACCAACTTGGTGTTAATCCGTTCCTCAAATGATGTGCGTCCCTGCATGGATTAGGAAGGCTAAGGAAAGTCTATCTATGGCCTGGTGGGAATAGATACCTAGTAAGTAAGGAAGGGTGTACGGTACATTCATTGCCTGTACAGAGAGTCGAGAGAGTATGGAAATCTTACAAGTTTCTTTTTCCTTTTTCTTTCGAATTTTCTGGAGGGTTCATCACTTCTTACCTGGATAGCAAGTATCTAAATTCATCAGGATTACGAGTATTTGTTGATCATATCCAACTACCTAGGTAAGATTTGAGCGTCGCCCAAAACCCTTGGTATGATAAATACCTAGTATGCTGGTATGTGTCGGGATAATAAGCTTCGTAATCTACCTAGTAATCGGTGTCGGTAGCTAGATTGAGAAGATGTCGATTCTAATCTGGATGGGAACAATAAAGACCCACAGTTTAGGTGGCTGTCAATGATATGTAGATGTAGACATTAAAAAGTAGGAGATAGTACCGGTAAGTACCTCACCTCCTCCCTCACCTCCTCACGCAGCGAGCATTGCTTCACTCACACTTACCATCAGAACCATCATCTTCTTTCGTAATTATACATACCTAGTTTGTCGTTCTCTCTAAATTCATACCTTGGTGAGCAGTCGTAGATAGATAGGCAAGTTGAAACTACCCAAGGATTTAGCTAAGTAATCTATTTCTCTTTGGCCATCTGCATCCACGAATCATCCATCATATATCAATCAAGTAACGTCCATCATTTCTCAAGAGGCCGCTGAAAACTACTCAGCCTTAGTTGGATACTTCGATACTTGCAATCCCAATGCGGTAAGAGTTTACCAATCCCGGAAAAGTTGGGATGGATGGCACACAGAGTATTCAACCTTTGTTAATCCGTGTAGTCATGGGGTCATTTCATTGGATGTTGGAAATTGAGGCTGTCGGACGGTGACAGCAAAAAGAATTAAAAAAGAGAGGAAGAGAAATTGAGTGATTGTCGGTGACTGACTGACTGACTGACTGATTGACTGATTGACTGATTGACTGATTGACTGATTGACTGATTGACTGATTGACTGATTGACTGATTGACTGACTGACTGACTGACTGACTGCAGATGGGGTGGGTGGGTAAAGTAAATTCTTGAGGATGAGAATGTGGATGTAGATGTAGATGTAGATGTAGATGTAGATGTGGATGCGGATGTGGAGGAAAGGAAAAGGGAAAATACCTATTTCTCCTTTGGGGTTTCAGTGCTTGATGGTTTTAGGTACGATATATTGATTGACTCGATTCATAATAAAGTTGCGCCAATCACCAGATAATAACAAATCAATGACTTTCCAATTAAGAAGAAGGATGATTTCCTGATTTCCCTTGCTGGCTTGACAAGAGGGAGGCGATATACATAATAAGTAGGTACCTAATAGTAGACATACATGAAAATATATTCGTACAGAGAGACTTTCTTTGGTATGGATAGGTAATAGGTAGTAAATAAAAAAAGTCATCATAATAATATCCTCTTCCTCAGCTGATACGTCTATCAAAACATGCAATCCTTCAAACCACTTTTCCCTCGCTCTCTCATAAATGTATAAAATAGATGGGAAGATGGGAAGATGGGAAGCATTGACATGGGCTGAGCTGGGGAGGGAGGGGGAAGAAGTGATGATCGCCAGAAAACCTAGCAAGGCAAATGCAAATTGTACCACCCCCATTACATCCCAATTCGTCTCATCTCACCCAATCAATATATGTCACGACTTTCTGATGGATTTGCCCTGGCAAATCTTCTCTTTTGGGAAAGGGAAAGAAACGATTGTTTGATTTCCTCACGACACCAGTCCAAGTGCTCTCTTTTATTCTATCTCGAGTGAAGTATATTCTCATGCTTGATTGATTGAGTGATTGAGTGATTGAATTTATTCTTTCTTTCATTCATTCTTTCATTCATCCATTACAACCTCCTTCATTTCATTCCAACGGAACTTTATTTCTTCTTCATCCAATATGAAATCCTCAAAGTAAAACAATGTCGAGATGGCTGCATTCATGGCGCTTCTTTAGTGGCAATCAATGCCGGGGAAACATTAACCTTTTGGTGTGATATCTAGATATCTGCCATCGAATTAGAATCTTCGCATTTCTTCCGTGTCTGCAGGAACAGGGGAAATTTAGTTTTCTTTTTCTTTCTTGTGAAGAATGTACGGAGTTGTTTTACCATTTCCCCAGCATCCCGTTGATCTCTTTCGATATTTCAATATCAGATGCTTACAGACAGGAGAGATGATTGAGTTGTCTTCCTTTACTTCTTCATCCATTGAATAATATCTATCTGGGTCTACGGGTATCAAAGTATATAAAACTTCCTCATATAAATAATGCCGTACGGATGATTTATTGAACACTTCAAATGACTACCTATCTAGTATGAGTAACTGCCAAATGATGAAGTACTCATATGACTGACTACCAACCTCTACCTAGCCACCCAACATCAAGTTACTCACACGCACACGCACACGCACACGCACACGCACACGGACTCTCTCTCGCTCTCGCTCTCGCTCTCTCTCTCAATCCTGAGCAAACACGAATTCATTCTATGCTAATAAGTGTTAATGAGTGTCACAACAGAGCAGATCTGATGTGTACTTCGTAACTGGGGACGAATTTCTGAAGTAAAACAGAAGCCGCCATGCAAGGATTCCTCGCAAGGATCTACCTTGTTCATTGTCTCCGATTTCATTTGGCCACGAGGTTTCATTCCATTAATTCAAGGTTGTTTTTGTTACATTGTTGCCTCACCTTGCTTTTTTCTCTTGTGAAGCTTTCTGAGGCTTCAGGCTTCAGAAATCAAGTGTGTCATTAATAAGCAGCCGTCTTTCTTTCACTCGAGGTCACCTGCAATCTTGGAATTCTGAAGATTCTAAGCTCAGCCACTCGACCCCCACAAGCCACAATGTGGCTTCTTACCTTTCCAACCTTGGAAGTGGAGGTTTCACACTTTACTTACCTAGGTAGGTAGGGGTTACCTCACTTGGACTTTTCAAGTGCCTACCACGCCTACCTAATTGGTAAACACATACTTTCCGTAGACTGGAGTTCTAACCGTGCGAGGCTGGTCGGTGCAACCACAAGTCAACACCTCCACCTTGGACGAATGTCCCACCTTTCAGATGTGAATCTCTTTGCAGGTGAAGTGAATTCAAAAGGAAGTTCCCAGTCTAATGTTGAGAACACCATCAACATCATCATTTTTCCTTTCCATTACTCCCATTTCTGCAAGAAATAATTTCATCCCTTTTACCATATTTTGTAGATCTTATATCTCATCCGCCTACAAAATGTCCAACCGAAATCTATCAACCGCGGAAGCAAAGGCACACGATTTTCTCGATTTCCTCAATGCTTCACCTGGTCGTAAGTAAAATGGATTAAATAAGCTATCAACATCATAGCAACCTTATCTCTGCAGTCGTACCTAACTATTCCATTTAGCCTACCATGCAGTACACTCTGCCATTCAACGACTTTCCAAAGCGGGCTTCACAGAGATTAAGGAGCGAGATAACTGGTCTACAAGTCTACAACCCGGAGGAAAGTATTACCTTACCAGAAATGCTTCTTCGATCGTCGCTTTCGCCATCGGTAAGAAATGGAAGGCCGGTAACCCAATTGCCATGATTGGTGCTCACACCGATTCTCCTACCTTACGTATCAAGCCGGTATCCAAGAAACAAGCTTCTGGATTTATACAAGTGGGTGTGGAGACATATGGAGGTGGCATCTGGACATCGTGGTTCGATAGAGATTTGAGCATAGCAGGTAGAGCCATGGTTAAAGATGGAGATGGAAATTTTGTACAAAAACTTGTCAAGATCGATCGACCAATCCTCCGCATTCCTACTCTGGCCATTCATCTCAATCGCGCCACAAGCTTCGATCCGAATAAAGAGACTGAATTGTTCCCAATTGCCGGTCTTGTAGCTGCCGAGTTGAATCGTACAGGAGCGAGCGAGAACGGGCCGACTCCATCAGAGGAGAATAAGGATTCTGATGAATACAAACCCTTGCAAGCGATGACCACTCGTCATCATCCATATATTGTCGAACTCATTGCGAAGAACGTAGGCGTTGGTATCGATGATATCGTTGACTTTGAAATGATCTTATACGATACACAAAAAGCTTGTTTGGGTGGGTTGAACAATGAACTCATCTATTCGGGCAGATTGGACAATTTGGGCATGACCTACTGCAGCGTTGAAGGACTTATCGAGTCTGTAAAGGATTCTGCTGCGTTAGATAATGAATCATCAATCAGACTAATCACCTGTTTCGATCACGAAGAAATTGGTAGTACATCCGCGCACGGAGCAGCCTCTAACCTTCTCCCCGCCGTCCTCAGACGTCTCTCCGTGATCCCCGCTTCCACTGCCGGTCCCGGCTCATCATCATCCTACGACATGGTTCATCGTGTGTCAGATGTCGAAATCGCAACAGCCTACGAGCAAACCCTCGCCTCTTCTTTCCTAATTTCTGCAGATATGGCTCACTCCATCCATCCTAACTACGCACAAAAATATGAACAAGACCATCGTCCTGAAATGAACAAAGGAACAGTCATTAAAATCAACGCAAATCAACGCTATGCCACCAATTCCCCTGGTATAGTCCTTCTTCAAGAAGTTGCACGCAAGGCCAAACCTTCCGCAGATTCCAAAGAGGGAAAGAATGGTGTACCACTCCAACTCTTCGTGGTTAGAAATGATAGCAGTTGTGGAAGTACCATTGGACCTATGTTGAGCGCAGCGCTCGGAACCAGAACCCTTGATCTGGGTAATCCAATGTTGAGTATGCATAGTATTAGAGAATGTGGAGGAGCATTTGATGTAGAGCATGGAATTCGATTGTTTGAAAGTTTCTTCAATCATTTCTCGGATTTGGAGGGAAAGATCTTGGTGGATTAGTGGTGAGAGGGAAGCATGGGCGTGAATATGGATGTGGGTGCTGTACGAGGTTGTGATTAGCGAGATGGAGTTTAGGGGGTGCGCGGATTTGGTGATGTCATCAATGGATGGAGGATGGAGAGAAATGAATGAATTATGAGATATGAGATCAGATGAAAAGAAATGAGAATTGATAAGAAATGAAAATAAATATTGGAATGGTTGCTTTAAAACGACATTGAGATGAAATGATTAATGAATTTGCATCGATGTATGCGCATTACTATTATGCTATGATCAAAGTATCAGACAACGGTGATTACATATATTAACAATCTCAAATCCCATATCACCTATCCAAGTTCATATCACTCTTCACTCTTCACTCTTCACTCTTCACTCTTCACTCTTAACTGCTCGCAAACAGAACAGGTAGTATCAGTTAGCATAATCTAACACACCATATCACATCACATCACATCACTACTTAATAACTACCTAGACAGCAATGTCATCTCGTCCCATCTCATGTCATCTTATCTCCATTTCACTGTGATCTCGGACTTCAACGTAAGATAAACATCTTCAACACGAGGTATCTATCCATGATATAATCAAATCAGTATGCTAAGAATAAGTATTATGATGGATACAGTACAGTATACATATATGTATGCGCTATGTAAGATATTATATCCTCATATCCTCATATCCTCACATTCTCACATCAGATCTCTAGTCTAGATAGACTATCATCGAGCCTAGACCAGACGTTCTTATTCACATTCACATCCAGTCTCAGTCTTTACTATCCCCTATCATTACAGTTCATTTTATAATTACATATCTTCCATAACTACAACCCCCTTCCTCCAATATTCAGCCAGCCATTTCAATTCATTAAGCCATCCATCCATCATTAAACATACTCATCAAATTTCTTAATTTTCAAGCACCAATCTCATCCCACCAACCACAACCATCACTATGCACAAGCACAAGCACAAGCAAGCTTTTAAACATCGTTCCCTCATCTCATCTCCCTAAAGTTCTCTCCTTTCATCCCAGCAAATTCCCAGGCATTAGCTCCTAGAATATCACAAAAATCAAAGGATAGAATATGCGACTCGCGGGCTTTCTAGTTACATGGAAATGCAAATTGAAGTTCAAATGGCAAAAGGCAATCAAGAATCGAATATACCACTAGCACCATGCTAATTCCACAAATGCTCAGTCAGATCAGAAATCAACAATCAAAGATAGCAAAGTAAAAGGCCAAAACGCATGATGGAAAACATCCATGGATGTAAACGTCAATATACATGGATACATAAATGTGCAAATTTTTATTAGGGCCTGATCTTTTTTTTAAGTCTCCAACACATCTTTCTCCGCTTCACTTGGGAGTAAAGGAGTCTCTTTCGTGGCATAATTATCGTCCTTCTCCCAAGCTGCTCCTGGACCATGGTAAGAAGGTTCCTCAATAATAGCTCCTTGGTTAACGGGTTCGGATCCGAAGGGGAGTGGTCTCGAGGGCATCTCGCGTGTTGGAATGTCCAATTTATTGGCTAGAACATCTGATTGACGCCTAGCAAGCATATCAAGTTGAGCTGCTGGGTCCTGTCCGGGTGTCAGTGAGAATCTTCCAAGGTCTACTAATAGCCTATTGAAAAGTTTCAAAAGTCGTGTAAGATCGTAAAAAAGGGTACTGGGGCCAAGAAAAAGCTTCTTGGGGTCTTCAAAAAGACTTCTGAAGGCATCAAAAGTTCCATTGAATTTATCAAAAAGGCTTACCCAATCTTGTTGTGCAGGAACACCTTCCGCAGGAGGTAATGCGCTGTCTTCTTCTCTCTCTTCGCCCCAGAAGGTTGGCTGTGTTCTAACTGGTGCGGGGGTTACGGGTAAACTAGGCCGTTCAAGCTCTGTTGGAAAGTCTGTGAGCCTCATACTACGCCTACGGCCTCCTGGGCTGGAAATCTGTGATATACCTGTGCCGTATCCTTGAAGAACTTGGATGTTGCCTTTGCGATTCTTTGACATGTTTCCAATGTATCGCTCAATTTCTGGAACTTCATCCCACGCATTTCCTCTAGCGTAAGTTTGCCATGGGTCGTTGGCACTCGACATGGTTGGAGTGGTAGGAGTAGCAGGCATGCTTCTTTCATCCTCGGTGGTTGCGACTACTGAACCGGCGACGGGGGTTTCTGGTACTGCTGTGTCATCATAGTCATCTTCAGGGAATACTCTTGAGGGCACTGGTGGGTTAGCTTCCCATGGGAATATTGGTGCTGGTCTCTGCCACTTTGGAGTCTTTGGTACTTCGTAGTACATGTCACTGGGAGGGTCTGGGTAGCGGCTTGGTGCTCGGAATGGGGTAGCGTCGTTGGACATCTCATAATGGTTACCAGGGAGATTTGAGGCTTCTGGTCTCGAATTTTGTGGTGGTGGTGCCCTACAGATTATTAGACAATTTCCTCTCATTTTAATGACAGTGAAACTTACTTGCTGGCATCCCATGGTGAATATGAGATGTTTCGAGATTGGTCCAATTTTGCCTGCACTGGGGGATCATAAGCTTCTTCGTTTTCCAAGTTTGTTTCTGTATGGTCATGGATTGGTTCCTCTGCTGTAGTAGTAGTATCATTAATGGCATTAAAATGTTGAAATTTCTCACACTGGGCTCCTTTGGAATGGTCCTCCTGGGTCTGGGGCTGGAATTCTCCAAAAACAAGGTATTGTACGATAAGGGGTGCTGCTCCGTTAGAAGTTCCGGTCGTCGACTGCAGAAATATTAGCTTCCTCTAAGATCAAAGATACCAAACTTACCGTTTGCTTGTAATGTTTATCATAAACTGCCCACCATCTTCCGGTCATCTGATGGTAAGGAGTGGCTCCGACACTGGCTTGTCTTCCAACTTTCCATGGCTTATCCGTTCCAATAAAGTGGGCGGCACTAATGCTAGATTGAAAATGTTGAAATGCTGGGAGATATTGGTAATGAGCGGATGGGGTGACGTTGTAAGTAAAGCTTAGACGGTTGTAAGTATTCTTGAAATGCATGTTAAGTAAACCTTGATCCGCTCCATCGAAAGAAATTCCTCTGTTTGCCATAGCCTCCAAAGCATAGTAGTCGCCCATATTTGGATTTAAAACCATAAGACCTGTGTTGAAGATGTCTGGCCATCCAATATCTGGTGCGGCGGAAAATGGATTTGGTAGAGCAAACAACTCATCTGGTGCACGAAGAGCAACCATATCGGCATCCATGTAAACTATTCTTCGGAATTGTGTTTGTTTCCATAATGTGATTTTGGTAAAAGTAGAGTGAAGATCAGGGCGGCCCATGAGGTCAAGGTTGGCTGGGGATTGGTTGACAACTCGATCGACGGGAATAACAAAGTCGAAGTTTCTCTTGAATTATGTGTTAGTTCGATTCCCGGGTTATCCAAACGTAGAGTACTTACCTGAAGTTCAGTCATACTCTCAGAGGTCACCGAGTCTACCGTGACAAGCACTGCGATTTTCTTGGTAGTACCAGCATCTCGTAGAGAATGTGCCAATACAAGAGCACCTGAATTGCAAGATGAGTTAATGGTTTCTGAAAGGTTTAGTATGATAAAACGAACCTGGCAGGTAGGTGTCGGTCAAAAGAAGCTATTGCAAAGTTGTCAGTTCAAAGCATCCCATTCTTGTCGAGCCATGATGATGACTTACAGTTGCATAAACATCTTCTGGTTGGGAAGCCATTGTTTGTTTAAATATGAGAAGACTGTATTTTGAAGTATAAGACGAAGAAGCCCTGAATATTTGAACAAACTACTACAAACAAAACTTCCACCAAAGTTGGAGAGTTTAATATGTATAGATGTGTATAGATGGGTATAGATGGGTATAGATGGGTATAGATGGGTATAGAGAAAAGTCGGGGGAAGAGAAATAATTTGGAGAGATATGCGATGGATATTCTAAATAAATGGAAGTAAGCTATCAAGGTCAGAAAGAGGTTTAGTGGAGATTGATTATGACGGCGGTATGGTATGGTCATTCGGTTAAATAAATATAAGTCAATCAAAAAAAGATGGTGGAAATGCTGGGGGAGGGGAAAAATGGGTGATGGATGTGGATGTGGATGTGATGTATGAACAATGAATGTATGGATGGATTGGTACTTTTGCTTGGTGGGAAATGAATTGACAGGGAATTTGCTGGCGGTAAGAGGTATCAAGTACGGATGAAAGCAAGTAATATGTAATATGAACGGGATATACAAATTATTCGCAAGACGGTGAAGTAGCTTGGGATCTAGAAAAGACAAGATGAAAAGGGAAGGTTTGAAGGGGAGGGACAGAGAGGAAAGAAATATACTCATATTCGTATGTATTCATACTAGGTATTCACATTCACAGGTATTCGTTCATATTGATTATCATTCACCTCACATTTACAAAAAATATACCCCTCCCTCAACCCCTCCATAATGTTCATCCCATTCATTCCATTCTCTCCATTCATTCATCTCTCATAAGAACCCAACAACCCAAGAAACCCAAACATGGGAGAAAGTATAGAATGCCATTTGTCAAAGATAAGACGACATTGACCTTTTTTCCTTTACAGTAACATTGTATGAATCTTTGATCACGAACACCAAGCTGCCACGTACTTCCTCTTTCGCCTCCTTCATCAGACTAGTTTGAATATCTTTTATGAACTTCTTTCTACGGAGTAGATAGATTCTCGATCCTCGATCCTCGATCCTCGATCCTCAATCCTCAATCCTCAATCCTCAATAGCTGGCTGGCTCGGCCGGTTACCTAGTCGTTAGACTATCCATCTCTGCGTTGGACGGTTGGAGATGAAATGTTCCACCAAGATGCGTTGAGATGGAGACACCACACCACCACACACACAACTCCAGATCCATTTTTTACCACCCGCATTTGAACCCTGTTGCGTCCATGTACCATTCATTTTCCAAGATTCCCATGAATCCCATCCTATACGGAACCTCGGGGGTAATGAATGCTGTTTACCCCACTGTCTATCAACTTATCTTCTTCTTTTTCACGAGAGTGTCAAGAATGGATCAAAGAGATGGTCAGTCTTCTGATAATTTCTCACTCCAATAGATGAGGATTCTTGTTTGAATTTACCCCAAAAATTCATACCGATGGAGAACTTTTTCTCGAGTCATCCAAACGCCTTCATCAATTTCGTTCATGCATTTATTCATGTATGTCTCAAATTTCAAGCCCAATTCAAACATTTCAACGCCTTATCTGCAGGTCAATTTCTGAGTGGCGTAACTTTACCACCCTTCATAATTGTATGGACAAGGGCCAGGCATTCTCAAGCCGTTCTATGCACACACTGCACTGCAATGCTCACCGACAGCTACTAGTGCATGTATAGGGTATCCACTACGAACATGAAAACGCACAAGAAAATATCAAGGAAACTTAGCTTATTCAAACTTCCAGAATTCTCCAATATGAAGGGATATCTTCATCTTCGTGTCGTTTTGTAACGAACGAGAGGGGTCCAAGTGGACGTTTTCTTTCCGTTTGTCGAACGAATTCTTACTCACAGATGTATGTATGCGTAGTTGGCATACTGCATACCTTATGTACAGTGCAGATAGTACATCGATAAGTTTATGTACGGAGGGTTGTCTATAGTTGTGGCAGCTTCCTGTTCGATTGAAAATATAAATATATCAACATATGCTCCGCTTCTTCCTCAGAGATTTTTCAAAAAGCTTGAGCACAGGCTGTCTTTCTTACTTTGGACCCGGTTATCTGTTATGCATTTAGATAGAAGTAGGATGTATGAAGCTCAGACTTGTATGTATCTGCTGCCTATAGAAAATAATTGCGAGGAAATCATTTAGCTCGAACATTTGTTCTAGATCCATTTCAAGTAACCTTCTAAATGAGAGGTCTGCCTACGATATTCATTCGTCCAGTTGTCAAAAGAACTTCAACATTGGGCAACATTGGGTAGAATCATATACAATGTATCGTTTTTCAGAATACCTGATCGATTTTCCAATCATTGCCTGAACTTGATCGTTCTCAATCCCAAACTGGAGATGATGTGTTGTAGGTTAGTATGATGATGTCTCGCTCTCTCACTTCAACAAATCATTGCCATGGTTTTAGTTGAATCATTCAGAATATCGCTCCCAAGTCTTTCAGTTTAGATTGACTCTACTAGGATTACATTCGTATCTATTAGCATACGATTGTCTCAAATTCATAAGGAAATGCCTAGCATTATTCACCCCGCTGGTTCCTCTATTCTGCGTCTTATCCCATTATCTTCAGCGTCCGTCACTTCTCCATCTTCCGTCGACTCCACTGACAAGTCAAGGATCAGTCATAGATGCTCCACCTCCGATTTCAACCTTGCGCTTTCGTCAATCAGCCACAATCATCCAGTGGTTGAGATGATAGCAGACTTGATCCTAGCGCGAGTATTTTGAGGGTTCCAATGCAGCAAGGACTAGATTCCATCATCACATGCCTGTCTCTTCAGCCTCGTAAATCGACTTGCGACGTGTAAGCAACAAATTCAACCTCGTACTCAATCTACTAGCTGTCGATATTTCACTACCTTTCTTCAGCAAATTGTCGAGTCACTTCTTTATCTGGGTGCATATTGTACGTAGCGCTCGTGGAATGTTTCCACATCATGTCACGCTTGTCCCCGGAAAAAGTTCATGAATCCCTTGTAGATATGGAGTGAAAACTATCTTGATGTTCAATTAGGTAGAGGTAACTATTAAGGGTTTCGCGATGGATTGCTTTGAATTTCGCCGAGTGGTCAGCCGTTCTGTTAAACCATTTGAAGTAGGCGAGCAGTGCCTCGACCTGGTAGTTTGAGGTCAACTATTGCCTAGAAAAACCAGATTATCGCTCCCTCTTCGAGTTAATTGAGACTTTCTAATAGGACGAAAACTTTTGTCAAAGCCCTGGTCAGTGTGATGATTGCATCATGTTGGCCATCTCAACAACACCATGGGCGATAGTTCTTCTTCTGTCTCCTGCTCCCGCGCGTTGGTCGGGAGACCACATCCCAATTAGAATGGGTACCTATCTGTTTCCAAACATATATTATAAGAAATTCTTTCTCTACACAACGTGGCGTTCCTTGTTCGGAAAAGCAAGTAAACTTCCAGGATGGTGAGTGACATGGTCAGGAGAGAATATGAACTACACCCTTTCATTAGATGTTGCAGCCCCAAACATCCATGGACTTTGTACACTCCATGCTATATAACACATCAAGCCAGCTCCCGAATTTTAAGACTCTTGGGGAATACAAATCGAACGATATATCACCCCGATTATTGGAAAATATCGTCATTTCATTGTATAGTATCATCAGAAATCAATATCAGTAGTGATTATGTACATGAAGCTATAGCGCCGCGTTACTAAGGTAGAGTGATACAGTGAGCCTTGGTTCTCGGGTCTTTCTCAAGGGATAGAGTATGGAAGATTGGCAGATATGAAAGTATATTGAGGGGCCAAAATGAGATCTATCTATGATCGATACAAAAACAAAGGCTGAGATTGGGAAAGGTTTAGCGAAAGATAGATATTCAGGGCAAGAAATACAAATATTCCCTCATTTCTCCACTTCGCATTTCGAGCTTGATACGCTCGTGTACATTCTTGGTAGTTACTAAAGCACCCTCGGAATCAAATCGCCTTGAATTCTCCCTCGATATCCACAATCTTTTCAACGGCTTTCTTGTATCCCGCCTCATTTTCTAATCTTTCCGTGTAAGCAAAAAGATCAGGATATTTATCCTTGGTTAACCCAGCGCGCTGTTTAGCTGCTACAAGAGGGAATGACATGAGGATATCTGCACCGGTAAGATATTCACCACAGAGATATTTTCCGCCTTTGGGAGAGCTCTGGATTTGCTCATTAAGAAAGGTAAAATGAGTGCTGAAATTTGGTTCCAGGTATGATTCGTGCACTTTTGAGGTTATCATGCCAGTGATAGGACGAATAAAAAACGGAAGGTTGGGCGAATTAATCACTGAGGAGTTAGTAAGGCTTGAGAATGCGAAAAGGAAACACTTACTAGACATTATGAGAGCGACAAGGAGGGGAGGCATGAGGGAACCTTCGGCATAATGCATGTAATAGCGGAAACGAGTCCATTCTTCGGTTTCGCCACCGAGTGTGTTTTCTTGACCGGGCTTCCAGCGAGTGGGCAGTAGGGTACTGCCGTGGGTAAAATGATCGAGGAGATATCTTTGGGGCGAGTTAGTGGTCATGCTTGGGGGGAATTCTTATGGGTTTTGGGAAGCTAGGGAAATGGTCTCCAAAATTATCTTGTTTTTCAGATATCTCATATCGAAATCCAAGGACTACTTGGACTCCTCTATTTTTCAATTCCATTTTGATTCCATATACACACCCCTCATCCAGTTACTTTCCCCGTCAAAGAAGAGAAACTTACTCAGTGATAAACGCACTCTCCGCCAAAACCACTGGTTCTGTGGCTCCCGCAGGTAAAATCGTAACGACGGGAGATTTTCCCAAGGCATGCACCTTTTTCAATTCAGGAGGTGCTTGTTTAGAGGGAAGTCTATGGATGATTTCTAGCTCGTAGGGTACTTTCAATTCTTCTAGAAGCCAGAGAATTCGCTGAGAGCGGGATTGGTTGAGCCTGAATACGTTAGTTTGAAGGGGAAAATGGACCGAGATAGGGTGGGATGCGATGGATGGGGTGAAAGGAATAAGAGGGACGTATAGAGGAGAGGGAGGGAAAGAAGAGGCGAACTGCTACCAGTAAAGTTTGATCTTTGGCTGATCTGACATGGAAGCTGGTGAAGACATGACTACTTGAGTATGTGTAATAGTTATTATGAAAGAATGATATGAGATTGATTTGAAGATATATTCCCTAAAATCCTAATCGAAATAGATACAAAAACACAAAGAAAAGAAATCAAACACTCTCATTCCACTACTTCTCACTAGATTCCCCTCCCGTAAACAAGTTTATCTCACTACCGATTAGCTCACCTCAGCCCACCTCGGCACAATCGATAACCTATTGATAGATAACCTGTGACAAAAAGCTATAAAAAAAACTGGACCATCATCCGGCACATCAATCAATCAACCGCATCATGGCTCCCAAATCTCAGCCGTGCGTACGGATCATCGGCAAACGTTTTTCCGACGTCTGCGCTTTCCACCGCGAACCTCTATTCACATGGGGCTTAATAACTGGATATCCAGAGATCGAACACACGAGAAATAATTCACACAAGTGTTTCTCGCATACCCGCAACTTTATTCACAATGGCTGGTCACGATCATGGTTTGTCTATTCGCACTGTGGATATTGGATTACACTAATCGTGGGAATGTAGTACTCGCGGTGGACCCCGCGTTGGTCAAATATAGCAGTATGTTCTCTCTGCAGCTGGGATGTCTTGCGCTTTACAATGGCGATGGGGAGATGGTGGGGATGGAAAAGGAGAGAAGATGGGAAACTAATGGGGGCTAGATATGTCGACCAATCGCCACAAGTATTTCCGATGGACGGGCCGCACTGCCGCTATCTCGTTTGTCTTTGCAGCGGTCATTCCGAGTATCGTTGGGTATATGGCTATCAAGACTGAAGTAAGATATTTCGACGCCATGTGCAGGTTGTGGATTGGGAGATGGAGAATTGAAAAGCTAATACGAGGATAGGGAAAATGGGATATGAGAGGAAAGCGCAGGGGTGATACGATTGCGGAGTTTTAGACGGTGATGAAAGGCAGGGAGAAGAGGATGGGGAAAATACAAGAATGAGGCAAGCTCGAATGCGGGAAGCTGTACATATGTGGAGGGAGATATCATGAGAAGTTATGGAATAAGAGAGAGCTATGGAATTGAGTTTGCATTCTTCACCATCGCCGTTCAATGTATGGTCATTTGAGATGGGTATTGATATTTACTCGGATTTGGTAAATTTTGTTATAACTTTTGCAGGACTGACCTAACATGTTTCTAAGAGACGAACCGATTACCACCCATCTGTTATTGATACTCCGATAAAAATGCTTCAAGAGTTGAAATGATATTGGAGAAATTAGAGCATTCGCTTCCGATAAATCGTGGATGATTTGAGAAGAGATCATGTAGTGTTCCAAGGAAATTCGGTGCCGTCATTCGTAATAGCATGGTAGTTGGTATCATATGTCTTCGTGCCTCCCTCAATATCGGCCTCTTCCACCCCCAAAACCACCTCCACCTCCACCTCCATACCCACGACCTCGTCCCCCAGATGGACCATCCGGTATCCTCTCTCCTCGTCTCCATTCACCCATCGGTACACCACTCGCCCCTCCTTGATTCGTACCTTGACCAAATCCTCCCCCTCTTGAACCTCCTCTCCCTCTATATCCACCTCCAAATCCATTTTCTCTCGGTCCCATGCCCCCTCTTCCCCCAAACCCACCCATTTCCGATCTTCCACCCGCAAAACCGCCTCTCGAAGGACCACTGGGTGGCGGTGCAACCCCTCCATCTGCCATCGGTGGTAAAATTGCGCAACAAACGTAATCACCAATAACAAATCTTGCATCCTGCAGCGTCTTCTCTGGTTCCCCCATCAAACTCCCCGCCATGATTCCTTCTCCAACTATCGCACTCTCTTCCTCATCTGCTAAAATTCCCGGTCCCCCTTCCCCAATAATAACACTGCCAAGCTCCTTCGTTACATACCTAGCGGGTCCACTGACAGCAGGTCGTGTATCAGGAAATATCAATCGATATGAAAGACGAGTTCCAATCGCCGGATCGGGAAGAAGATCAGGGAGCGCGGTCGCTAGTAAATGTGATAATTCGCGCAGAGTACATGATTGCCATGTAGATATGTTAACGTGAAGAGGTAATTCACCATGTGGATTAAATTCTTCAATTCTATTATCACGTTAGAAAGAATACAAATAAATATTATGGGAAGGCTGAGGTTCGTTTGCCTACCTGGGAAATGAACCGTTTTTGTAGAAAAGCTTGAGATGGAATGGAACGGTAGTGTTGCGATCGATTTTTGTTAAAGTAGTGGCTGCCATTTTCATATCATGAGCTGGGATAGCTAAGATGCTTTTAGAGGAAGGATGTTGGTGGAGGATAACTTTGAGGTGAGAAGTTCTCGAGGCAGAATCGAGGCCTCGTCAAAAAATGTTCAGCCTTGAGCTTTGTACACTTTCTGTAGTCTGACGACAACATCTTCTACATAATCAACAACTCAATCTCTCGCTCAATTTTCTCTATCTATCAAATTCGCAAAGATAGATCAACAATAACAACGTTTATCTTAATCACAAATCACCAATCCAATTACCGTAAATACAATCATCTGCGGCGCAAACCATCACAACCGCCATCATGGATTTCGCATCTCTCATGTCAAAAGAGATATCCAAAAAGAGCGAATCTTCCACCGATACCTCCAAGAAATATATGAAACGATCTGAAATTGAAGCGGAGCGACAGGCCAAATATCTCGCTGAGCAACGCGCGATTGAAGCAGAGCGTGAAGCCAAATTGGCACAAAAGCGCAAGCGCGAAGACGAAGAAGAAGAAGCTGCTAAAGCGCGAGAAGAAAAGCGCAGGCGATTAGCTGAAGAATCTAGGAAACAGAGGGAGGAAAGGGAAGCTGAAGAAGAAAGGAAGAGGAGAAAAAGATTAGGATTGCCGCAATTGGTTAAAGAGGATGTAGAGGAAGTGGTGGAAGATGATATTCCGGATGATGAGTTGGTCTTGAAATTACGGGAAATGGGACACCCTGCGAAGCTTTTTGCGGAGAGTCATAAACAGAGATTGAGGAGGTATAGGAAATTGGGGGTGGTTATGACGACAGGACCGATTCCTACGACGTTGGTTTTGGTCGAGGAAAAGGATATGAAGGTCGAGGATGTACCGAAGGATGAGGAGGGGAGGAAATACCTGTTTAGACAACTGGCGAGTTATTTCACGATGGTTTTGCAGGAGTGGGAGCATGCGCTGGAGAAAGAGAAGAGGGATACGTTTGCTAGTAAGGCGGCTTACAATGCTATGGTGCAGAGTAAAGACAGCATGACTCCTGTAAGTTTTCTTTCGCATACTTATCTATTCTATGGGATTCAAAACTGACGATTATAGCTCTTTCGCAAATTCGAAAAAGGAGATCTAGATGAGGATATTTTAGGCCCGGTTGTTGAAATTGTCAAAGCAGCGCAGGAAAAACGATACGTCGATGCAAATGATGGATATCTACGTCTTAGTATTGGAAAAGCTGCATGGCCAATCGGTGTGACGATGGTGGGTATTCACGAGCGTAGTGCGCGCGAGAAATTGCATGAGACTGATAAGGGACATGTGATGGGAGACGAAATTACCAGAAAGTTTTTGCAGAGTATTAAGAGGTGCCTCAGTTTTGCGCAGGTTAGATGGCCTCCCGAGGATATTAGACAATTGATGGGTTGAGAAAGTAGTTATGTTTTAGAGCTTGCGCCTCGAGGGAGGTTACAATGGGTACCCGATCTGTGTCTTCGAGTTTACGTCGTCCACTCCGGGCTTCAAAATGCTGGTGCAGCACACCCTAAATCAAATTATTACTGCATCTTGGTGGTCATCTAGGTTTATTTTATTTTTGCTTTTCTTTCTACAACGAGGTGATACTCATTTTGACGGGAAGCTAAGTGGCCGATGGCCGCTAAGAATTTTAAACACCGGAGATTGTATTTAGCGAGAGGATTGAAGGAAAGGGAAAGGAGGGGGCAGCAAGTTCCATTGTATGCATATCATTTTACATCGCATATATAATTCCTGAACAACGGGAGCCATGTTTCAATGAGGTAATCTGTAATTTTCGAACGACAAAGTTTACAATATCTGGTGCACATGAGCACTCGTGACTTGTTTCATGATTTTGACTGCTAGAAATCGCCCCCTTTGATGAGTGAATTTTAACATTTTGAAGTTTGTATGCTACATGCTGGATGGACTGCCTTGGAGCGTTTGATATTCCTGATATACTGTGAGCTTGCATGAAGACCTTTCTGTTGGAACACGTGACTGAGAACGTGTATATAGCTTAGCAATGCCCCCTTCATACGAAGGGGGCAGACATGAATTCAATACTATTTAACCCTATATGCTTTATGTGTATACACACCGCTTACTAAGTCAACCCAACACTTTCTATCATACGTTATATCGTGCTACGCCTCATAAGTCATCTATATTATCTACTTCACTATGACGAATTCGCTTAGGGACTCGAATGACAGCAGTGCCGATCCAGAAATTACTCAGATCATTTCTGTTGCATATCGCATCTTGAGTCATGATGTAGAGATGAAAGTTTGAAGGTTAAGGCGGTATAGAACAGGAAGAAAGTAGTAGTCGTTGAAACTGTTCCATACCAACGAAGAAAGAGATGACAACAAAGACGAAATGAAATCAAAATTTACGGTTCTATTGGTAGTCTCAGCTAGATTGCGGAGTGTCTCTTGACTTCCATAGGAAACTTTAACCCCTCGTTCAAACTATCGTGATGGAAGAAACCTCCTGTTACTTCCATTTTTACTTTCAATCTTCCTCAAAGGAACTTTCGTTCCGACAGGCAAGCAACAAAACCCTCTTCCAAAATAACCCCAAACCCCCATTCGTCCCTTTGGTATTCCCTACTCGATGTCTAGAGCAAAGAATCTCTTTATCTCGACAGAACAGGTGGGAAACATGTTTCACATATCAGATATGCAACAAAACTAATTCTGCATAGTTTTCTTTGTTTAGATAAAAAGCGAAAGAGAGTTTTGGGAATAGTAGATTTCGGGAGTTTACATAGTCTAGCGAAGGTCAAACAAAGGTTCTAAGCTCGTCGTCTATCGCACGTTTAAACATGCATGGAGAAGCGAAGCTCTTTGTTGAAAACCAATTGACCTGCACCCAAAAGATTTCCATTGGTAAATTGAAAGTTCCTCACACAAAGAATCGAGAGGTCGGAACATTTTGTTGCATATCTGAAATTGAGCGCAAGTTGAAGAAACTTAACTAGGTACAATACACCCCAGCTGCTCAAAGTACTACTTGAGCAATTCAGCTGTGCACTAACAACTCGCCTGAAAAGTTAGATTCTGGAAGAAAATCTTACTAGGCTATTCACACTAGTTGATGCCCGAAGAAACTTTCTTTTACAAAATTATTTGTCTGCACGCATTAGATATCTTGTTCACACGCCTTGTCGCCAGTAACGAGAATATCTAGGTAGCATTTCGACCTACGATAACATTGCATTGTAATATACAATTGCGAAGGTTTCACTTTACGATTAGGCTCATGTGTGTGTCAAACGACATAGAAAGTCGCGGTGATTGGATTATATATTCACAACGTGTACTTTTCTTATCAAATCACCAGGCACTTTGGCGGAGTGGTTAACGCGATGCCCTGCTATTGTTTACAACAAAGTCAGGCATTTCCTTCGGGAGCGAGTGTTCGAATCACTCAGGTGTCGTTTTTTGCCCTTTTAACCTTTTGAAGTCGAAGGAATTTTTATGTGATTAATTATTCTTAGCTATGGAGATTTTAAGATCTTCCTTTTGGATGGATGGAGTAGGTATTTGTTCTTTTGTGGAGAGTACGACGGATTATGTAATGATATAATAAATGCTATTGCACATTAAGTAACGAACTAACGACTCTTTCTTGAGTGAACTGAAGTTGAATCCATTTCTCTTGCGATGAATTATCTATCTTATCTGCTTTATGGATTGTAGCACGAGTTACCTTCCCCGTCTAGGGTAGCTTCGTGCATTTTCAAGAGCACCAATTGCAGTGATTTGTACCAAGCCCGATGATACGTTGAACTTTTGTTGCATTAGTCTATACAGGGAACAGTAAGTATTCAGGTCACTTTGGGGTCGTTGAGTCATCCGTTAAAACCATCGCGTTCCCGAGAAAATCGATATATATATTTCGGTTCACGATCTCCTAGAAGCCATCTACCAGTATTCATTGGTATCAAATGAGAATGCTTAAGTAAATACAGAAGAACCCGACCTTCTGAATGGGAGTAATTTGTCCTCGATGCGTTTCTGCGTTTAGTAATTCTTGTGCGTTGTGGCCCAGTATGAAATCGAAATCAGGTTTCCAAGTTGACGGATACTATCAACCTAACTTTGAACATGCGAAGGGCGGAACAGTTGTTGAATGAAAGGGAATGACCACAATTGGAGGGAAACTCAAAAAGAAAGTCGAATATTATGAACAACTAGGCTTTGATCGTGCACATAGAGGTAGAAAGAGGCGCCGACTCAATCTGGTTGAGCGATGCTGGGACCTGGAATTTCTTTCAAGCTATTCGGAAATATCCCAGTGACAAACCTCTGAAAGGCAGGAATATCGCATTTAGAACAAGATATCTCTAAAATTTAGATGAGACCCTACATTACTTTGATCCGATGTATGAGTTGAAAGTCAGGTGATTTATATCTTCCACTTGCAAGAATATCACAATATCCGAGCAGAGCATAGACGAGGTGAAAGAAGTTGCCAAACCTGATCCTTGTATCTATCTCGTGTTGTTTGGAATGTTCTCAGAAAGCATCTTGGCCAGATTCCTAGTCGAAGATCATGATTCAATTGTTGCAATTGTACCATCTGACGCTCCTAGCTGTTGAATAGCTAACTTACCCAATAAACAGCATTAGACACAGGCTAAATGCCTTGGCAGGGCGAGGAGGCAACCTTTAGCTTCTGATCGGATCTTCTAGTCTCACCGAAATCAACTTTGATAAAGAAAAAGACCTACAAAATTAATGAATATCTACTTGATTGTTCTCGGATTTTGGATTGTGTTCTGCCCACCTGGATGTCTATCAATGTCATCATGTGGTTGTGGCACAGATAGCATTGAGTGGCGTCCTAATGCATAAATGCCGTGTTATCAAGGCCAATATATAGCTAGCGTCGACCAGGTTTCTTGAGAGCCAAATCAATCCACGTATCTATGAACTTCCAATATAAATTCATCCATTTGATTTTCATCAACCACAATCCGTGAGGATATCTTAACACCGATTTCAATAATACAAGTTAATACCATACACATACAAAATGTGGCTCCTCGATTGGTGTATGTAGTATTCTTGAATGGATCCGAGAAGAAAGTGTTTACAACATAACAGCTTGCTGACTTTTATCTCATTTGAATAGTTTGGGATACTCTTGCGTCCTTGGGACTCTTGAACAAACACGCAAAACTCCTCTTCCTCGGTCTCGATAATGCCGGAAAGACTACACTGTTACACATGTTGAAGGTGCGTAGAAGAAGCTAGGTTGAGGGGATGCTCGATTCGAGACGAACGACAACTTCTCGCATTTCGAGCAAGGCAACAATTACTGATAAATATATGCTTCTAGAATGACCGCGTTGCCATTCTCCAACCTACTCTTCACCCTAGTAAGCAGCTTCAAGTCTCGCACATCGGCGCACAGCACGCGTAATCAATATTTACTGACCATGCGACAGCATCTGAGGAACTTGCTATCGGCAACGTCAAGTTCACAACTTTCGATTTGGGAGGACATCAACAGGGTAATTATTCTAGTATTGTTACAATGGCATATGTCAAGCTAACATGATGTAGCTCGTCGTCTCTGGAAGGACTACTTCCCAGAAGTCTCCGGTATCGTTTTCCTCGTCGACTCCAAAGATCACGAACGTTTCGTCGAATCGAAAGCCGAGCTCGATGCCCTTTTGTCGATGGAGGACCTTTCCAAAGTACCTTTCCTCATTCTCGGAAACAAGATCGATCATCCAGATGCCATCAGCGAGGACCAATTAAGACACGAATTAGGATTATATCAGACTACTGGAAAGGGCAAGGTTCCTCTTGAGGGTATCAGACCTATCGAGGTCTTCATGTGCTCTGTGGTTATGAGACAAGGTGCGTTTTTTTTCTGTTGAAAGATTATTATGCCTCATACTAATCATGGAAATAGGTTACGGTGAAGGTATTAGATGGTTATCACAGTATGTCTAAATAATGGTGAGAAGGTTGTTGTGAAGGAGGTATTCGGAATGAAGGGGGTGGTTTCTTATGGAGATCTGTTATGATGGACGGAGTTATACAAAGGTCGTTTTTCAATGCTTTTTTGGTAGGTTCTGGGAGCTCATAAGAGTCTACTTTAGGAACCAAACCAACCAACATATTTGTACCAGCATAGTATCGCGATCAAGACTTTTTTATCTCTCTCAACATAGCATTATGACTTGTGTATTTGAACTCTATGAATTTGCTACCAATAGATGGTATGGTCATGGAAGGACCGAGGCATTAGTGATTAGACCACCCAGAGGTTTCCATCACTTGATATCGTATACAAGCCAATGTTGTTGACGATGCACCATAGCTCATTCTCAAGTTTCTTGGATCTCTTAGGGTACTGAAATCTTTCGCAAAATGGGAAGATCTTAATAGTCGGCTCTTCTAAGCAGCCGACTAGTTCCTAGTTGGGGAAAGCAATTATCCCCAGAAAGCAATTATCCCCACTCAAATCCTCGAAATCTATATATTACATATTATTTTAAATAATTTATTAATAAAAACATTAATATATTTAAGATATATTTTGAATCAAGAATTACTACAATTATAAGATATAATTATTTTACAATATTTATTAATAATAATCTAAATCAATATATATAATAATATTAAATATAAGTTTGTAAATAAATAATATATTATAATTTAATTTTTTTTTAATAAATTTCTTAATATATTCAATTTGTTCTTTAATTAATACTTTATTATATCATTTAAATTCTCTAATATCAATTCCTTTAGCTATATAATCATATCCATATTGTATTACCTTTTTAAATTATTCATAATATTTATTGAAATAATATATCCTATAAATTATATATATAGAATTATCTAAATAATTCAAATAATATTGAATAACTTTATTATATCTATATTTTTTGTTATTAGATATAGATTATATATTAAATAAATAACAAAAATTAATATTTAATGAATTTTAATATAATTTTTAATAATTGTAATTGATATAATTCAATATTATAGTGTTTTTTCGATTTGGATGGGAATAATTGCTTTCCGGGGATAATTGCTTTCCCCAACTAGGAACTAGTCGGCCGCTTAGAAGAGCCGACTATTAATGCTTGTTGCGATCTAGAATATACCACTCGTAGTGCTGAAGGCTAAGAATACCTAGTACTTAACTAGCTACGTCATAACTATTTTCGGATGCGAAACTCGCCCAACATAATTATACATAGTCTCCCCACACTTTTCAATAATAGCCAACCCTCTTTCATATATTAACCAAGCAAAGACCCATACTTAATGCATATATAATGCAGGAAGACATCTAGAACTCCTATCTTCTACAGAATACACAACCGATAACTCGACCACCACTTGGAGATGGCGGATCTCCGCCACAAAACAGATGGCCCATCGCCGCTTTCCGCAGAAGGCTATGATGAATCCCTTCTCCCCGATTTCCACCGTGAATTCATTTCCGAAGAACACCTCCAAGCATTCTCTAACGCGCTGAGCGCACCGGATCCAAGTCCTAGTTCTGATGATTTGTCAATATATTCGCAGGCTCAAAGCCCGAGAGAGCCATCTACGCCACATCGCAGCAGCATGGATGTGCGAAGAAACAGTAAAGTCGCAATTGGAAGCGGATCAAACACACCGGGGGATAGGGGAAGCCTGTTCATTACCGCGCAGAATGACTGGGCTCCAGTTAACCCTACGAGGCTGGGAGCGAGAGGCAAAAGGAAAGGGGAGAGGCGGAAGGCAGGCAAAAAACCAAGGAGAAGTAAAGATGAGACGAGAGAAGGGTATTTGTACTCGATTCTGAAATGGCCATTGCTAGGAGTGGTTTTCATGTGGATTGGGGGATTGGGATTATCATATATGGTGACGCGATTGTACATTTGGACATATGAGCATTTTATTGCGGTAAGTGGCTCTCTGAATTGTGTTTCTGCGTGGAGGAAGAGGGGTTCCGTAGGATGTATGCCGCGGGGGTCCTGTCCCTGGTTCTCAGGGGGCTATTCACTAGAGTTATTTACTGATTTCCTGGCTACACAGTGGAGGGGAAAGCGGAATCGACTGCGAGAACAACTACATAGTACCACAAATTACGGAGATTGGGTCAAAGAAGCACAATCATTGGACACATATCTCGGAAACGATAAGTGGAAGGGTGAGGACGAATACGCATATTATGATTCCAAGACAGTACGAAGAGTCCTGGAACAGATTCGAAGATGCAGACGGAAAATTGAACAAGAGGATCGAACAGAAAGCTCATCTAATGGAAGTAATACAACAAAGGCAAAAGCAGTTGAAGATTTGAAGGCATTAATCGAGGCATGCGTGAAGAACAACTTTGTGGGGGTTGAAAATTCGAGATTATACTCTCAAACTTATTATGGAACGAAGGATCTGGTACAGGAGTTTATCGACGAAGGTAATTTGAAGATCTCCATTTTTTCAATGGCAGATCGACTGACGAAAGATTCTAGTTGAGAAAGGCATTTCAATTCTGGCCAAGTCGGATGAACTTCAAGATGAAGAAAAGCGCACACTTTTCAAACGAATGCACACAAATTACGGTCGTACAGCACTCTGCCTATCTGGTGGCGCATCTTTTGCATATTATCATTTCGGAGTTATAAAGGCATTGTTAGATGCAAATCTCTTGCCAGAAGTGATCACAGGAACTTCAGGAGGTGCTTTAGTAGCTGCTTTGGTCGCTACAAGAACAAACGATGAATTGAAGGCATTACTTGTACCTGCTCTGGCCGGCCGAATCAACGCCTGCTCAGAACCGTTCACTACTTGGATACCTAGATGGTGGAAATCAGGAGCTAGATTCGATTCTGTAGAATGGGCTCGACGATGCAGTTGGTTCACAAGAGGTAGCATGACTTTCCGCGAAGCATATGAACGAACCGGCCGAATTCTCAATGTTTCATGTGTTCCTGCTGATCCTCATAGTCCTACTATTCTGACCAACTATCTCACGAGCCCTGACTGTGTCATTTGGTCGGCGGTTTTAGCATCAGCAGCTGTTCCCGGCATTTTAAATCCTGTGGTTCTTATGATGAAACAACGCGATGGCAGTCTTGCACCTTATTCCTTTGGTCACAAATGGAAGGATGGAAGTTTACGAACTGATATTCCACTTAAAGCACTGAACCTACATTTCAATGTAAACTTCAGCATTGTTTCCCAAGTCAATCCTCACATTAACCTCTTTTTCTTCTCCTCGCGAGGTTCTGTCGGACAACCAGTCACTCATCGACGTGGTAGAGGTTGGAGAGGTGGATTCCTTGGGAGTGCTACTGAACAATATCTCAAACTTGATCTCAAAAAATGGTTGAAAGTAGTCCGTCACCTTGAGTTATTACCTCGTCCTTTGGGTCAAGATTGGAGTGAAATCTGGCTTCAGCAATTCTCAGGAACTATTACTATCTGGCCAAGATCCGTCATCTCAGATTTTTGGCGCATTTTAAGTGATCCAAACCCAAAGCAATTGGGAAGAATGCTTCATGTTGGCCAACAAAGTGCATTTCCAAAACTAATGTTCGTTGCCAATCGACTGAAAGTCGAAAGAATCATCGAGTCAGGAAGAAGAGCAACTCGACAAGGTGTGAGGAGAGGTAGCATCGAGAGTATCTTAAGCGAAGACGATATTAAAGGTTTACTTCTGGGGAGTGGTACAGGCAGCGATGCTGAGGGTGAGACCGCTACAGAATATGAGTTGACAGATGGCGCGGTGACATCTGAAGATGAATCTGACGGACTCAACTTGAAGATAAGTGAGAAGGAAGCCTTGATCAGTGGGGAAAAGGAAGAGTAATATTGTTATTTTTGGAAGCGAAATTATACCACTCATAGATTGACACTCAATTTTAAATGGAAATATTAGATAGGTAATAGGCATAGTTAGGATAATCAGGTTAGATACTTAAATCGATATAATCATTAGAAATGTGTGCCAGTCTCAGCTAATGTTAGTCTTTACTCTGCCCACTACGCACGTATCTCTACTTTTCCAAGAATTACTTATTAGAGACGGTGATATCATTCGATTCTGTCTAGATTAGTAACTGAAGTCAACAAACTGTGCGTGGCTTTGCGCACCATTCAAAAGTTCTTGCCATCCTCACTCAATCTCCTTCTATCTTTAATTAAAGGCGCATAAATAAAATCTTACTCTCAATATCCAATAAACAAGTCAAATAGTTCATGAAGATAGAAGCAAAACTACTGTGTCTTCTGACGTTTACTACGCGAGCGGGATAGTACCAAGGAGGGCTATTCAATAGCTGAGTGTAGAAATACAGACCACACTTTCATTAGTTCAATATTAATCCAAAACGAGAAAAAGCCCATAAACGCATCGAGTGCCGTTGTCCTGTGGCACAGATGCAAGACTGTGGTACAGACCACGCTCTGGGGCATTTCAACTGTGGCTCAGCTTTGTGCCAGGTCCAAGCATACATGATGTCAATTTGGTTGCTAGGTACTAAGGTTGAACTTGAAGTTACATGGTGAGAATGTGTAGACGAAGTGGCAATGGTGATGATGGTTGCGCTGACGGTTATTTTGCTAATCGGCTAATCAAATGTTGACCCTCGCTAATATGTTCTATTGGGGTATTGATCAAATTGCTTCACTTGAGACAATGGTAGGTAGCCGGAAAAGTCAATGGATATGACTACATTCTTTATATTCTATGTATAGTGGTGAGGGCTGCATAATTAAGTTCATCAGCTAACGTCCTTATGAGATGACTCCTCCAGGCATTTAAGACTCACTTTGAAAGAATAGAATGGAGCTGTTGGTTAACCATGTGGGTGAAGAAGCAAATAGGTAGGTATCGGAAGGAGCTAGGAAGAATGAAAGATGTGGTAGTTTTGTGTCGGATTCAGGTTTATGGGTGAGCTGGATTCACTGTTGAATGTTTGGATATGTTGTTTCAGAATTCTGACTTGGATACAGATAACGACAAGATTAGATTTGTTTTGTCTTGACTCAAATGAGCAGCACGAGTTACGATTCATATGTTGATGTTTGCGAGGGGCTTGCTCCAAAGCAATTGAACTATTCGAGGAGCTACATTACGGATACTTGTAGGAGAGCTCCGCTAGCACAAGAGAAGCTACTCTTTCTGAACGATGGCCGGAATGGCACACTACTTTACTATGGCTTTCCACTAAAATTTTATTGTAGCGATCTTTTTATATCATCTTATTTGGGGTATTGCAATATATTGCGGTTTTTGGTTGGATGGAGTTTAGCGCTACAATCGAGGCTTGAAAACTATGTATCATGGGCTTAGGAGATGTCATTTCGTAGCTTAATTTGGGTCGGAGACAGGAAAACGAGACAGTTGTAACTGAAAGGACTTGATGAATGCCTGTGGAACTGGATATCATGTGCTTTTCCTTGGGATAGGGGGACTGAGAGGAGTGTACAAGATGGATATTGTCAACATCTCATAACGCCTGGACGATCGACACGATTAGTAATTCATGGGGAACTAAGATGGGACGTTCTTGTGGGCATATCCACCGTATCATAATTCCGTTTGACTATGAAAAGTTAGGGAAGACAACGGGCTAAGAAACTTTGCCGAAAGGTTGAATTGAAATGTGGTTCTTGAGCACTTTTTTGCCATTCCATAGTCTTTGGTGTGCCATTTCCTCGAAGTCAAATTCTTAGGTTTGGGATATTCAACGACGGACTAAGAGTTCAATAAAGGATGAGAACGAATGATTTATGACAACGACATTCCTGGAGACGGGATGAATATAGTAGCATTTGGGTTTCAGTTCTCAGATATTGAACGAGAAAGGATTTGCGCAGAGAAATACCTAAATCATTGTTTCGTAACCAAATAACTTTGGATATTGGAAACCAAATCATAAGGTTGCCGGAGATACCATTCAAACTAGGTAGCAAGCCCTGGGGAATGGATATCACCGCCAACTTGAGAACAAGCATCAAAAATCTGAGAAGTCCTAAAGCGCCGAGGACAATTCAGTTCAGTGGATCTTTGCCATGAGAGCATCGTTAATTACTTGTCATGGAGACATTACCAACGCCTTTTCCTTCCCCTCATACTATGATAGGCATAGCAATGCCAACAAACATACTAAACGTGCAGGGGTTAGCGACATGCAACAAATTCCATTTGCGATTAAGGTTCACCATTCAGCTGTGCGCAGAAGGAATATTAACGCGGGTTAACATCAACTAGTACTAGCTAAGATAGACCAAGAATAACTCAAAAGCTTCAAGGGTTAGCGACGTGCAACATATATCATTTAGGGTTTTAGATGAAGGTTGGTCGCGTAAGCTTGAGTTTAAGTCGAAGAGACCAACCACCGCCATAATGAGACCAACAACGACTTAAAAGACTACAGGGGTGTTGCGACGTGCAACAAACAGCATTTAGTCAAAGCTAAAATAAGACTAAAAACCAACCCCCTACCAGAATGAGAATAACAATGACTACAAGCTTGCAAGGGTCGTCGAGGTATATGCCAGATGACATGTCAAAGCCCTAAACTTTAACCTCACATCACGATGACGATGATACCATGTACCAGCACTACCCCAAGAAAAACACGTGTACATGAATAAATTCACTCCAAATCTAGCCCTTTGACTCTGATGAATCAGAAAGAGTTCATGCCGACTCAAACGATTGTCAATCACGGGTAAGCAAATTGGATTCTGCTAGACTAGTTGCAGGTGAAGGCAAGGTAGGTACTCTCCAACATATTAAATGCGAGTTCCATCTCTTCTGTATTCGACAGTAGGTCAATATCTCACACTTAAATCCCACGATAGTTCACCTCAGATAGGCCCAGAAATACATGCATAGGTGGTAATGATTCCAGATTGATTGAAGATCTCAGAATCGTGCAGCCATGTTCTGCAATTCAATCAGATTAATGGCACACTGATGAGATAGTGCTGATAGCTCTACTTCTGCCACCATTTCATAGCATAGCCAGGTTATCTGAACGTTACAATTCACACTAGATGGGTGAGCCTTTTGAGGCACCCTAAGTCGGATAGTATCAAGCGGCAATCCTCTTCAAACTTTCAAAGATTCATCTTCAGACGGAGGAAAAATTGAACAGATTGGAATTTTTGATATCAGTAGACTTATAGCTGAAATCGGACCAGTAGTACAGGACATCTCTCTTCGCAGCCGTACCATTCGCGTAGAGAATGTGCTATTGGTCCAATCCTAGGCAAAATCATAGCACGCAGAGTAAAACCATGAGAACCATGTGCAATAGTTTGTGCTTAAAGAATCTCTCAGTCTGACAAACATCATGTACGTAGATAAAGCTCTCCTTTCATGACACTTCCTTGCGAATCTAGAAAGCGTGGTGATTCTTGGTGTATCATGCTTGAAGTAAACCTTTCAGGACCATGTTCAAACATTATATCTGATAGACCATTGTGCAAGAACTTTGAGTGTTTACTTTTCACTCCAACGATAAAAACATTGAGCTTGAGAATTTAATATAGGTAAGTAAGAATTTGATACTGTAGAACTTTGGAAATTATTTTGTATTGAATTCAAGGACATAACATTCTTATCAAGACCAAATAATAAATCGCATGCTTACCTAAGCACTTCAACACGCTATCGCGTTATGTCGCGTCCACAAAACTAGTGGAAGCCGACCCCGCCAAAATCTCGAATACAGCATACACAAATTCGAGTTTCGTATCATGATATTTATCTGTTTTTGACGCAAATAATACTTTAATCACTCATTGCGCATTTAATTTTGAGAGCGAAATCCTATATTCTAGCTTTTCGAAGTAATTAAAATACAGAAGTCGAGGCGATGAGGTCTTTTGGCGGATAAACCCTTACAAGACGCACGGGACGACACCACACGAATCGAACGAATAATAATAACATTGCAATACTGGATGTCGTTGAGAAACAATGGCAAGACTAAATAACACGCTTATTGTCTACAAACGTAAACCCTACAAACCGGTTCCGAGTTTGGTTGCCGCACACCGACGAAATACGCTCGAGTCAAGGAAGGGGAATGGAATGGAGATTGGCGGAGTTGCAAAGAAGGGCAAACAAGCTACTACACCGGGAGAGAATTCTGTGCAAAAGCCCTCTGAAACAGCCAGTCAACTGAACAGCATGGTTGGTCCGAGGGCACTGGTTGCGCAAATGGTTGCGAGCACAGCGGATGGAGAGGAAACCAATAAGAGTTCGACAGTGCAAGTAATGGCTGAACCCAAAGCTCATGTAGAGGAAAGAGCGGATGGCGAGGGAGATGATCAGAAGGACAAAAAAGATAACGAAGCTGGAGGTCAGCACAAGCCTCAACAAGAAGTGGCACTTCCAAATTCGTTGCAGTCTCGAGGACCATCAACGCCGGCTAAGAAAGCATTTGCGAAGAAGACTGCCGAGTTACAAAATTCGCGACTTCGCCAAGAGAAAAGAACGCCGCTCAGTAGGATGAAAAAGGCACAACAATCAACTCCGTTCAATAAAGCAGGATCGACAGAGGATGTAACAGCAAAAAGAGATACTCCTCGCAGCGGAGGAAGTCGAAGAAAGCTGGCTGATGCAATGCTAACAACCGGTGAAGAAGCTGAAGTTGTAGCTTCAGCAAAGAAGCCAAAGCCTAGCAGCAATCTAAGTAGCAATCTAAAAGCTTCAGCCGAGGTACTCGCTCCTGTCGAACAAACCAAGGAACCCACTCCTGTAGCCGAACAACCAAGGGCACCTACTCCTGTAGTCGAACAAGCCAAAGGACTCACTTCTATAGTCGAACAGGCCGAAGATGAGAATGTTTCAGAGGAAGAAAATGTGACCGAGACTATAGCTAAAAACTCTTATCAACCGGTCGTAGTGCACCAATCTCGGTTGGATGGCGAGAATAATCAGCAATGGCTTATAGAGTGGAAAGGATATCCAAAACAAAAAGATTGGACTTGGGAGTCAGTTGAGATGTTGCGGGAGGATTGCCCAGAATGGGTCGAGGAAAAGGAGAATGGTTCGTTAAATGGAGACGCTGATGTTCACGAAGTCGAGGCAATTCTGGACAAGCGGAAGTTTAGGGGCAAGGTTCAATACCGTGTGAAGTGGGAGGGTTGGGAAGCCAATTACAATACATGGGAACCTGCGGAAATGTTAGAATATGATGTCCCGTACATGGTGGAGGATTTTGAAAAGGAGCTAAAGAAGACCGAGAAGAAACGAAGTGCAGGAGAAGCAGATATGGATGCAGAGCTACCTGTGGCAAGGAAAAGAGGCCGACCTAGAAAGTGAGGGACACTTGAGTTTGTATTCAGATTTTGTGAAAGATCTCTCAGCGTGCGAATTGATTGGTTAATGGATGGGTCAATTTCAGTTGGAGTTTATAGGGCAACGATCACTCTGAGTGGAGTTCACAGAGCAGATGAAATGTAAAGTACCCAAGCGAGATTTCTCGGGTTTGCGTTTGTTTTGTCTAGGTATTTTATGTTTCATTGTTGGTTATAATGCATGCAGATAGTCTATGAAGCCTCTTACTTACTTTCCGTTGATTCAAAATACAGATCATTCTCATTTACAATTCTCTCCATACATATTTTGATTACCACCAATCTTGAAAAGCTTTACAAATAAGGATTGTCTCATAGTTGGCTCCTTTAGCGAGAGCTAACGATTTCTCAAGGGGTCGATGACGAAAATTAGTATTAATCGCATTGCTTTCGCTTAACGTGGTTTAACACCGAGTGCACCATATCACCGAATGCACCACTTTTACCTCAATTTGCGCTTTCTAATTTATATTATTCAATAACAATTGAATCAATTGATTGAAATTATTAAGAATCTAATAATCTAGGATCTATTATATTGTTTTGACAAGTTCTTGAATTATGACCTGGTTTTCCATACTTACTATAGCATCGATTAGAAGATGCTTCCCCATTAGGATTTTCTTTATTTTGATGTTTGTCGCGTTGAATCTGAATATCAATCTTTTATTAAGATAATATATCAAAAGTTTCTTATCCAATAAATACTCCTTCTTAATGTAATTGAGTTTTTTTCATACATTGACACTTGCTTAATGTTTCATTTGCCTTTTAAAGTATATGAATCTCTGTATTCAAAAGTATATTCTTATAAGCTAATCTCTCTATATCTTTAACTAAAACTAATATAGTTTTGAATATAGGTATAGGAGAGCTTAATTAATGATGGGTTATTCGAGATTTAACTAGTATTGATTAAAAAAAAGCTTTTATAGGATTCCAAGGTATTTGAAAAATCTAGAGATTTAAATCAAAAGGAGGGGGAGTAGATATATGGATTCGAATATCCAATTTAGAAAGTATAGCTTTAGAATTAAATAAAATTAATCCTGTTTCTTGGAATCCAGTTCTTATATTTTGATTTATAATTGATCATTGATATATAATTTTAAAAGTTATAAAGAATTCGATCTTTAAGATATAATGAATATGTACTTTTATAAACCCCTCAATTTGAGTATTATATTCTCGTTTTAAAATACTAAAATATCCAATATTAAGAGGTTGAATTAAATAACTTGAATACAATAGTAAACATATATATTTAATATCATTCTCCTTACAATAGTTCTAGAATAATATTGATTCATAACTCTTATGCCTATTTAGCACTAGTATTCTATATTTGCCCTTAATTCGATTTCTTATATGTTTATCAAAGTGTTTCAATCATTTTAACCCTGTTTTATTATTCGTTCATTTATTAGATATAAGTTTAATAGTCTAATCCACAGGAAAATCGGTTTCGATATATTAATTGGAAAGATACATCTGTCCTTAAATTATTAGAAATGGAGATATAATATCCCCCTTATTATTGTCATATATAATCGCTATTGCCCATTCTCGATTGTTTGATTGTATTACTTTTTTTCTATTATTTCGTTTAGTATTAGTTATAATTATTCCAGGGTATATTATGCCCATCATAAAGCCGGTTTCATCGAAATTATAGAAATCGCAATTGAGAATACCATATTTCGCCTATATATTCGAAATTATATAAAACCAGTCTTTAATAAACTTGGAATCTTCATAAAGAACTCTTTAAAAGTTATAAATATAACTAAAACATATCTTTAATCTTATATAACACTTTACGAATTAATAAGCCCAAAGCTTTCCAATTTTTTTTGCCTCTTACAATTGAAGAATATAATTCGCTATATCTTTTATATTATTTAATTTAAATAAAAATCCTTTATTATCCATATCAATTATATATTAAATAAGTATTTTCTCTTTTAAATTAATTATTTTATAATTATTTACTCGAATTTCCATACAAGAGAACAAATTATTTATTTTATGGAGAAATGTTATATACATTATATTATATAGCTTAACAGTTTTTCGAATACTGAGTTTTTTATCTTTTTGAATAGTTTCAATAGTTAAGAGTATTTGAGCTTCTTTTCTATTTGATTGTATAATAAATGATTGATAAATCGCATATTGAAATTGAAGAGTGCAAATTGAGGTAAAAGTGGTGCATTCGGTGATATGGTGCACTCGGTGTTAAACCACGTTACCCGTTTTTGCCTACTTACATATTACCAAGAAATCGGTCAATATTAACAACCTTGACCCATGCAACTGATTTTATAGCCTCTCAATCAAACGAAACCCTCCATAACTACGCTCTGACGAAAAAAAATAATGTAGTTTGTCGACTCTGTATACTTACGCGTTGTATGTGAGCCGGTCTGGTGTTGGTGAATGCTTATCTTGAGAGACTGCGGCCCTAGTATACACAAGATCGATTGAAGACTCGACTGTGTATATCCAATGTGGATAGACATACTAGCATTAGTTTAGTACGTCCTAAAGAGGTTTCAAGGCACTCACGTGAATTAGCTCTCAGTCCTGAACGTAAAACGATAATGGCAATACGCGGGTGGATGTACAGTGCCTTAGGCACCCAGCGCCTACACACAAGCATCGGCTTCGCTACCGAGGTAACCTCCGGTTCTTTCGACTATTTAATCATCCTTTATGATTGAGTGATGGAGTAATATCAATTTTACACCCCTCATATTTAATATACTATTGGGCACTTAGATAACACTCATCTCATTAATACATACTACAATAACATCATTATGTCACGGAAAATTATAATTAAGGATCCCAATCTACAAGTCCAAAGTTGGACGCGATGCAAGCTTCCAATCGATGTACCCTTGCCGGAAACTGTATCGAAAAATCGTATTGAAGATCTTCCAGAAATCTGGCATGAATCACTGACTGGTCTCATGAACGCTCCGGGTTTCTTGAGTTCCAGGTGTGCTCGAAATACTGTGAGTCTCCAAGAGGTGCTTTTCGCTATCGGTTAGTATTCAGTTTCTTGATTCTTAATGAATGCCCGATATGATTCTTATCTAAACTGGTCTTGATGCAGAATGGGGGGATGATGCCTCGTTCAAAGCGTTTCTGGAATCTCCAGCTTATCCGCTATATCTACGTGGATTTGGGATTCATGACTCACATATCCCGAATGCTATGGTTTTCCTCTTTCCCTCCTTCGATGTGTGTACATTCAGCCCTGGAGCCCGGGTGACGGTATTTACCTATAGCTTTGCGCATCCAGCTATTGAACAAAATCGGCAAGACATGATGCATGCGCAAGGACTTCGTGTTCGCAGAAGAATTGGGAAGTTGGGAATTCACTGTCAACGTGCGTGGATTCGAGAGCCGCAGCTGGGAGATGATGGGCAATTGGTGGAGAACGGAGTGGTATTACAGGCTTGGCCTAATACAGAGCCACCAGTATATTTTGAAGCTGTGGATCAAGATGAGTATTCGAGAGAGAACTTGAGAAAACAGGTTAGGAGGATCAATCCTATAAATATGGAGGAGATAACATGGAGTGTAGCGAAAAATGAAGATGAAAATGAAAATGAATATGAAAATGAGGATGCGGATGAGGATGAGGAGGATTGGGAAGAGCTAGATGAGGAAAATTAGGAGAGATTTGGGGATGGATGACAGGGTGCTTAATACAGTTTATTAGGCATCAGAAAGACCTTAGTGACGCATGCTATCTGAGCTCTACAAATTGAGTTCAGATCGTCATACACCAGGTTTATATGATTCGCTCGCTCACCATTCTAACTGAGTCTTGCATTATGAAACCACCGAAACTGCCAATTTATTGATCCCTGGAATTAGCAGCTTGTATCGAGATCAATGGCGAGCAAACTACTAAATTGAATAGCAGATTTTAAAAGCAATCTTGACGGAAGCAAAAAAGCCAACTTTCTAATATTCATCATGATTAATTTAAGGAAAAAGTCATCCCGTCAACTACTTGTCCAGCTCGAGATTTTGAGTCTTCTGCAGATTTATGATTGCGATGAAAGAAGATGTGATAACAGCTATCCCGCCAACACTGGTTTTCCCCTGCTATCCTCCGAACCGGAATGCTTAAAGCCCTTCTCATACTTCTCACACATCCATGATAATAGACAGTCGAGTCTACTTCCATTGTTCCGCACTTGAGATAGCCTTAGCTGATGCGCAACGTATGCTGCTCAGTCGAATATTGCTCAAGCCATTTTCCCAGTACTAAAATCGAAGCCGTGCTGTCTGCACCACATTGCTGCGGCAAAAAAAAAACGTAATTCTCTGGATTCGTACGCTTATTCAGAGAGATCCATTTGATGTTGATGCATTCCCTCAAGCTGTCTGTCAATAGAGGCCAATTAGTATAAGAAAGAAGCAGAAGCGGTGATTTGCCATTAAAAGAGAAGAATTAAATAAACGAGGCTTACACTTCTCTTTTGAGCCGGCAAGAAAGTCGTCCGCATATATAAAATAAAGAGCTTCATGAAACAGCGTGGCACTTTTGGGTAAAGTGTTGTCTAAAACCGTGCCCGCGCTAAATCTTTTTCCATCGACCCCTACAGTGTCACCACATTGCCACCCGCTGGCACTGGTGGCAGTATGTCTAGTGCATCAGTGCAGTCAAAAGAAAAAGGACACAAAGTCACTCCAAAACGATCGTCAAGCTCATCTTCAGCTCCAGGACTGACTGCCTTTAAGCCCGACGTGGCAGCCTTTGTACTTGGGTTTTCCGAACAAAACTCGCCCGCAACCGTAAACTCGTATCCTCTGGGGTTATCCGACCAGAACGGCACATCGTTGGGGCCAATAAATTCATTATATACGTCGTTAATAGTCCGTGGTTTGTCACCTATCCATATTTGATCACCCATAATTTCGCGTGCAGCTGCGTCGAGTCCGCCATCAACGGGCTTCAACCAATCTGAGCCACAAAACAACCCGGCTTTTGCGCCTTGAGGAAGGGCCCCAAAATGAGATCGAAGTTAGAAAAAGACTCCTATTGCTAGCATCAGCTTTTCGTACATATGTCATAATGTCAATAATGATTATCAACTTTGAAATTATGAAGCAAAGGAGATAAACTTACTTGTGATCTCCTGGAGCGTATGATCACTTGATGGGAGTGTTCTGTCTCTTTTACTTGATTTTAAGCCAAAAAAAGTAGAGCAGGCTTTCCTGACGAATCTGTCAGAAGAGTATTGAGAGATGTAATGATACGCATTCGACGCCAGATTCCAAGATTCGCTCTGCCATACGTTGAGAATGGCTCTGCGCCCATTTGCATCACAACCGCCATCAGTAGCACCATCTTTCATTATCCATACGCTGTTAAGCGGAAGTGCTTGAGCAGCAACCAGGGTACTGGTGAATGAGAGAGAGATGAGCAACAAAGAGAGCAAGAAAGGAGGCGATGATAGACGCATCTTGGGTCCTAAGTTGAGATCAAAAAGGGTTTGACCTGGTAGTTATGGCACTGAATACCCTGTTCCCCTGCTTGAAACGGGAAAAAATGAATAAAAGTAAAGGATGGGGTGAGGGTTAGAAAGACTACTATTAGAGAATGAAAAAGGACAGTGATAGGAGATATTAAATGTGACATCTTGAGAGGTGGCTGAGCAAGTCAAACTGCCTTGCAGATGCTCCTAGTTTACGAAATCTGGGTATATTGTGACTCGGAGATTGGTATTTCGACTTCTGTGCGTGCTACCATCGACGGCTCCGCAGTAGGTACACCAATTGTACTTGTAAATAAATATTCATAACTATTTTCCCTGTCGTTTTTGAGATCGGAATTCCAGACGTTGAACATTTGAGACCCGCCATCCCTCGTATTGTTCATGGACCCATGTTCTAACGGGCGAAGTGTATACTGTGTGGCATGGTTAATTCAAAATTGCAATCCAAAATTTCGAGACTGAGAGTATCAAAATATGCAAAAGGAATGAAGAAAATCGCCAAGTCTGATGGAGTATTGTGAATCCGTCCAGGGAGATACTTTGCCGAACTTTAAGCTTTCGGGAGAGAGGCGGGGGCTCCGGGGCCGAGATCCACAATATCTTAATGCAGAAAAGTCTTTCATTTTGTTTAATTGAACGCATGGGGTTTGATGGAGGTATCAGGCTGCCGGTAACCAACAGTTTTCTTCGAATAACCGCTTTCCGCGATGTTTCCTCAATGTGAGTCGCGATTGCTCAGATTCAAAAAGCCAAGCCTGCAATGACCTGATACCAAGCATATTAATTCAACTTTAGCAGATTCCCGACGTTCAGCTGTGTTTGTGATGGAGTTCCCGCTGCCAAGTGTAGTGGGATAGAGTTTTGAGTCTTATTGATATAGAACTACGATTTTGTCCAAGGTTCCGCAAATCAATCTCTTCCTGTCCTTGTCGAGCGGGAGATTAGAGTGGTATCTTGGAATGGATCATGGATGACTGGTTATTGGGAACAACTGCGAGCCTAATATATAAATGACATCCGGAGCTCGAATGCGATGTGTATATAAGAATACATTTTGTGAATGCTTTCAAGACTCTCTCAACATTCGCGAGATCTTCTTCTTTTCAAACTGCACTGTACGGTGCAATATTTCCATCTTTGAATCACAACCGCAAGGCCCTCGAAATGAAATTGTATGCTCTTTTTGTTGTGTTTTTGCACCTGTCTTGCCGCGTGGTCCAAGCAAAGGCAGTTTTTGCTCATTTCATGGTATGATAACCCTCCAATATTCTCACACGTCCCTTCGCTTCTTGAGGTCCTCAAATATAATTAATACGCCACCAAAGTTCTAATTTTTGTCTACACAGGTTGGGAACTGTAAATCATGGGAAACATCAGATTGGCAGGCCGACATAAAAATTGCGCAGCAAGCCCACATCGATGCTTTCGCACTTAATATCGCCGCAGAAGACGAAAATAATGCAGTTTCTATAGACCGAGCATTCTCAGCAGCCGAGTCTCTTGGCTTCAAGCTTTTCTTATCTTTCGATTACGCAGGTAATGGTCCTTTCGACATGAATGATGTGATCGCATATATCACAGAGTATGGTGCCAGCCCCGCATACTTCACAGTTGATGGACAGCCTCTTGTTTCGACATTTGAGGGACCTGCAAATGCGGATGACTGGATTACCATCAAATCCCAAACAAACTGTTTTTTCCTTCCCGATTGGTCTTCGGCAGGTGCTCAAGCTGCCCTGTCTCTTTCTCCTGGTGTGGTAGATGGCCTTTTGAGCTGGGCAGCATGGCCCTGGGGCAATCTGGATGTCAATACTTATGTTGATGCTTCATATCTTGAATACCTCAATGTTTCTTCATTTTCCAATCCTTTACAATATTTGATGCCGGTTTCTCCTTGGTTTTATACAAACTTGCCGGGATATAGTAAGAATTGGGTTTGGAGGGGAGAGTGGGTCATCAAAAACCCCTCTTAATGTGTTAGTTTCAAATTGCTAACAAATAAATTAGCGACTTGTGGTATGACAGGTGGCAGGAAGTTTGGGTTGTGCAGCCAGAATTCGTAGAGATACTGACGTGGAACGACTACGGTGAATCTCACTATATTGGTCCTCTACACGACGAAGAAATGGAAGCATTCGACATTGGTGAAGCACCATTCAACTATGTCACCGACATGCCCCACGACGGTTGGCGCATGTTCCTTCCATATGTCATTGATACTTATAAGAATGGAATTGCCACGATCAAGCAAGAAGGTCTGACTGTATGGTATCGTCTCACGCCCAAAGCTGCTTGTGATGATGGCCCCACTTCGAACCTTCTTTTCAAACCTTATTCTCCCGCTTCAACCCCACTTCTTCCCTTACCTAACTCTGCCTAACATTCCTCCACAGGTTTCTTCGGTCTTCAAATCGCATACAACAGGAAATACAGCCAGCCAACTCCAAGTAGAGTTCTACCCAACTGACATCATCCAAGATAACATCTTCTACACTGCACTCTTGGGAACTAAACTATCGGTCAAGGTCACAGTCGGTGGCGTGGACTTGGGCGCCGCATGGACTAGTACACCTGATGGCGATGTTGGCCTATATCATGGCAGTGTAGCTTATGGCTGAGCGTTGGGGAAAGTTGTGGTTACAGTGGGATCCATGGTAATGAGTGGAGAAACTATCACCACGAGCTGCGATCGTGCTGACGGCCAGAACGGTCTAACAAACTGGAACTCTTGGGTAGGTAGTGCTTCCGGATCAACTATCAGCGCCACACCCGCGCTCAACTTAACAGAACAAGTATGCATTCAGGGAACGGGAGCTCCTGGCTATGAGGAGCTATGCACTTACTCATGTCATTTGGGATACTGCCCTATTGGAGCCTGCACGTGTCTGGCTATGGGAAAGCAGGTGGATCAACCTGACTCCACAGGCACTAAAGGGTATCCAGCAGCTGGCTTGAATGCTACGTTCAGTGGACTCTGTGACTTCGCTTGTAATACTGGGTTTTGTCCACCAGAATCGTGTGATACTGTGGAGCATGAGCTCATTATTCCAACAGTATCACCGTTTTTGCCATCCGCTTGTACCAATGGCACCGGAGTCGGTGATCTGTAAGCTTAAATCCTTTCATGTTATCCCTGCTCACTGTTAAGCAGAATCAGTCAGTGATGAATGATTATTGATTATATTCTGTCGTATAGTCAAGCCAAGTATAACAGGATGGAAAGCTAACAAGTTTATAGTCAAGGTTTATGTGATTACTCTTGTCACTTTGGATTTTGTCCTATTTATTCGGTGAGTAGTACAAAATATCATATAATTCTAAGATATATAATTCTCCATTGATGAATGAAATTAGACTGATACGTAAATAGTGCACATGCATTCGAAAAGGTGCCTTAAACGTGCCACCACCGACCACGGGCGCGAGTGGGAAAGCAGCACCAGGACTAGATCCTCTTATCTATGACGCCATTTGCGAGTTTACATGTAGCCGGGGGTATTACCCAGATGGGGTTTGCTCTCCCGCAGATACCAATAGTGGTACTGGGGATTTTCTGGTCTACGTCCCACCAAGTATCTGGAACAATGCCGAACCAATCGTAGAATTGGGTTGCTATCCTCCTTGTACCTTTATTCTTCCTCCTTTCACTCTCCCAGCACCAACAGTGATCAGCTTTGACTCATACTTTACTACTTTGGAAGTCTTTAGTGTCACAGCTACTACAATAATCACATACACAAACACGATAGCTGGAACCTTTTATGTGTCTGAAGTAGCTCAAGGTACATCGTCGCTGAAGACTACAACCATTTTCGTGCCGCCGTTGACTACTGATGTTCTCAACTTCTGGAATATGCCCATCGATGATTCAGACATCAAAGAAACTCTCATCGCAATACCGACCAGCATTCTACCACCAACTGTGACATTAACCGAAACCAGTGCTGGGACGGTGTATGATCGTACAATTCACCCACCACCATGGCCATACACTAATCCAACACCGACCACAAGATCAAGTGATGGCCCTCCACCGTTGCTCTCATTCACTTCATCTGCAGCAAGCTCAACATGTACCAAGGATTGTGGTTCTCCCTGCAGAGGACTATTTTGCAATTGGCCTTGCCTCTTCGACTGCGTGAAGGTTCCAGATCCTGACTGGTGGGACATGAAAGACCCTCATAACCCATGGGGACCTGAAAAAACACCATACCAGCCTGAAAATACTGAATGCACCACCACTAGTGCAAGTAGCTGTTGGACCGAGTGCTTAGCTTCTAGCAAAACGAGCACTTGCACATCTTCCTGTTCTATCGGCTACGGTTGCTCTGTGACTGCAACCTCAACTCTAGGAACGTATACACTTGCCCCATCCGGATATTGGACTGCAGATTCCTTTGATCGAGCTTCGGATTCAGATGCTGCATATGCTAGCTCTGTTGATGCAGACGTAAGCTCAGAGTTAGCAGATTGGTTCCCTGAAACGGCAACGGTTACGCCTGTATCAACTACTACACTTCCAGATGTCACCGTTACCGTGACTCCAACACCTACAGCAGATTGCTCTTTCTGGGATGACGGGTTTTTCTTTCTCTTCGAGGTATATAATATCAATGGCTGGGCGACGAGCGACAATGGTGCAGGTCTCCGCGAACAAGAGACTGTGTGTGGCGCCTTGACAGGTTGGGATTGGCACGCTGCAGAGGGCGGAGGCTACGCTTCCGTGTATTTCAATCTCCCAACAATCTTAACCGCGGGATGTGTAGAGAGGGCAATCGTAACAGCCGGCGGACCAAAACTTTCATGTCAAGGAGAAGGGGTCCCCGGGCTTCGCAAGAACAAGATTCGAAAGCGCGAAATGACTATTCAGAAGCCGAGTTTCAAGGCGCCGAGCATTACACCTACATATACATCCGATGCGAGTGCATCGCACACGTATACGCCCGAGTATTGGAACTCCACAATTCCGACTGCATTGGTGAATGAGCCGGACGGCCATGGAGTCGTGAAAAATTGGATGACCCCCACGCCGGATAACAAAACCTCGGCGTATACAATGTATGCGGTCGTGTATCCTACGGCGTACATTGCCTAGAACATAACTAGTGCGGCTTCGAACATATCCAGCACGGCTTCGAATCCATCTAGTACACAGAGTAGTGGAAACTCGACGTTGCCCCGAAAGCGACGCCACTCATAGGAAGTGGCTGTTTTTGTATTATAAAGTCCAGCAAATTACTCTCATGCCCCCAAAATAATTTTTTATTATTTCTACACCCTAAAAATGAAAGACAATTCACTCTCGTGTCCCTTAGATTCCAGCCATTTAAGGCTACATTATATGATAGGAAAGCGAGTAGATTTACAAGGAGAGTAGATTCTATGATGAAAGACTAGAGTCTAACTATTTCAAGCTAGATTCCATAGCAGGAGAATAGGAGAAGAATAGATTCTATGTTAATCCCACTATCATTGTTCTTTCAAATTTTCTGGCGTTTCTTTTGGCTATACATAAAAAATCCATCATAAAATCCATGAGACATGAAAACAAAACAGACATAATTCTTAAGACAGAAGCGTAATCAATTGACATATGGAGCGCGCGAGAGTGAGTAATTTGCCACATATAGTCTTTCCAAGCTCTTTTATAATCGACCCGAATGAACACCACTAGAGAAACGAAATGATCATCGTTCGGTATGTAAATACTTGAGGTAGCTTGCACACTTACGAATGAATTACTGAAAACGAGATTTGGTAAAATGTAGACGGTCAAAACGGGATCAACCTGCTTATCATATACATAGTGAGTATTCAGGCCAGATATCATCTTTGAAATGAAGTTTACAATGTCCTCCCCTTTTTCAAGAAAAAAACAAACAAACAAGAAAAACATAATTAGGATAGCTCATTTAAATCAACCAATTGAGCCCTATTGAACTCGCTCTTTACAATAACTATATTATATATTGCAGACAGCATGAAGAAAAATACAATAAAAAACATAAAAAACAGAAGCGATTTATTTTGATGTTTTATATTCAACTCTGCAACTATCGACTCTTACAGCTCGAACTAAGTACTTCCCGAATGTATTCTCTATCACCTCCTAGTACACAAGAATTACACCCCCCACGTTCACACTCATCATACAGAGACCGATATCATATCCACCACCATCATCAGTACCAATACCAAATACTAATAAGCATTTCCCACCTCCCGCGCGTATGCCGCCATCCATCCAAATGTATGCAGCCGGCCGGAATCCACAATCCCCATACCAATACAGCCAAAGTCCTCCAGTCCAGAAAAAGACAAGAAACGCAAGCACACAGCCAGAAATAAACACCACAGAATATAAATCTGCACAAGAAATCAAAAACAGAAACAAACAAATCTCTCAATCCCATACATACAACCCGAAACCCTGTCCATCTATAAACCTTTTCCCTCAAAAGTTGAAATCCACCAGCACCCGCAGTGCATACGCATATTCAAATCAGAAAACACGAAAAAATAACAAGGAAAAAAAGTGCGAAGGCAGAAAGGTAGATAGCGAGCTATGTGACCAAACCACCGAGAACAAATCCATCATATCATAGCACATAGCCGCTCATGAACAAGAAACAGAAAGATGCAATCCGGCTTGCAATCTTTTATCCAAGTTCTCCGGGGAAAGAGCTGCAAAAAAAACCATCATAACGCGTGGGATTGGATACAAATAATCCAATCCACTAAACTACCAATAATGCAAGCAGAGGAAATGCAAACGCAAACGATTGTAAGAATAGTGATACAGAAATCCACCCTCTTACTTTCCCGTCTCTGAAAATGAAGTAAACAGTCGAAACTTTTGTTTCCTTTTGCTTTTGTATTTGATGAAGAGAACATAGGAAATCGAGTCGTGACATCATAGATCGTCATAGTGAGGAGCTCTCAGAAAGAGCTGAATAATTTTGGTAAGGAAAAAAATGAGAGTCCAAGTGTTGGTGGTGGTAATAGGTAAGTTATTTGGTACAAAAATGTACAATTACACAATAGTGTGTATGGTATATCAATCGACATTATACTTTAAAGAGCACAATTTATTTTGGTAAAGACGTTGGAGGAGCGGGGAAAAGATTATAACTTCCTCTGCGCTTACCAGCCGTAGCGGCATTGGTCAATGTGCTGGATCTGGATCGTTCTTGAATGGTCTTTTCAGTAACGATCGGTGCAGAGATCTTTCTTCCATGATTGGACATGAAGGACTCCACTGAGGCAGGAGCGTATAATTCTCGAGAAAGAGCAGATCTTAGACGTGGTCTTGGAGGTGAATCGGTGAAGCTCTCAGCCACAGGACTTAGAATACTAGATGCTGCATCGGGAACAGTTGTGGAAATTGGAGGGGGAGGCTGAGCGAAATACTGAGCGTTTTTGGACGACCTCCGCGCTTGATTGGTATGACTTTGCATTCCAGTAACTTCAGAAGGCTGCTCATTGTCGTCAAGTTTTAAACTGGAAACCTTGGTAATAAGCTCTGGGTCAGATGTTGTAGTGGCAAGTGCTCCTAGTGTTCTACTATCACGCTTGGGACGAAGAGATGGAACAAGGTCGGGCAAAGAAGAGGCGGATCCGATACTTCTGTGGGCTTTGCTCATGCTTCCTGCTTGGAAAATGAGTAGAGCTGAGTCTTGACTGGATCGATTGTAGCGGCTACTAATAGTACTGCTTCTGAGGCTGTTATGTGAATAAACCGAGGAACGATAAGAGTTGGTACTAGAAAGAGCTTCATCTATTGGTGAAGTGGGTTGTTCATAAGTATCCATGGGAAATATTGAAGCTGATGGGACCTCATCGTTGTGATATGTGTCGAACAAAGCATCTTGTTCGCTTTGTAAAGGATATTCATCGGAAGGAATGAGGAGAGTTGGAGAAAGACTGAAGCCGTCTGACTCTTTGAACGAAGATGCATGAGAAACAGGTCGCATTTGATGGGGGCGGAAGTAACTGGTTGGTGTAGGGAGAAATGATGAAGCGCTCGATAGATTGGATAACGGAGAGAGAGCGGGAAGATCATATGGCGCAGGGACGAGTAGTGATGGACGGAAGCGACCTGGCGAAGGTTCTTGTTCGGCCGGTTCTATTTGAGTGGGTGAAGCAGGTTCTGCTGTGATGACAGGTTTGTTCTCTTCAAATGTTTCATCCATCTCATAATCCCAATCTTCACCACCTTCATCCTCATAACAAAAATCAATCGCGTCTTCCCAGGAATCAGTAGCCAAGTTAAGCTTAACCGAGCTGTATCTTTTTGAAAATCGTGAGGTATCAATAGACCCAAGTCTTCCTAGCACTGGTGGCATATCAGGCATATCAGGAGCTTGCTCAAGTGCCCTCATCCTCAGACCGGGAACAGATTTTGAAAGTCGTAATTCACCACCGTCGGTGCTTGACTCTCTTGATCGCGTCCTAGTATGTTCGTCTTCTTCGAGAACATCTGCAAGATCGACATCAAAACTTCCACTTAATGGTGCAGATAAAGGCCATGCTTCCTCGCCAGGTGTAGTGACTGCATGAGACAAATGTTTGATGGATACCTCGGATTCTCTTCTTTCCCATTTAGGGGGTGAAGGATGTGTTTGTGGAGTAAAATCGAATGCAGACTCTTGAAGGCTGGCATTGGCACCAGCCAAAGCTTGACCGAACTCTAGGGCAGATGAGTCTTCAACATGACTGAAGAAAGTTGACGCCGCTCTTGACGATGTTCGAGCAGGTGGATTAACCGGGCATCGAGGAGATTCAGGAGACCTCATTGGGCGTGCAGGTACCGATCGTAGATTATCATGTGACATTGAATAATTGATAGGCCTCCATGGCTGATTCTGTGGTGGCGATACGGACGCTCGAAATACGGACCTTCTTTGCGGGGTCACAGGACACGATGGACTCTTTGGGCTTGTGGGACTTCTGGGCGCGTCAACATCCGGCGCATAATCTATTGCTACCGAGGAGAAATTCTCAAACATTAAATCTCTCGCTCTAATACCCTTAAGATTTCCATTGGTTGGAGCTTGAGATGCTCGGAGAGCTGAAAATTCGGACACCAATTTGGTGGGAGGAATTTCCCTGAGGTTTGGTAATTCATTCTGTTGAGTGTGTGTGATGTGCTGAAAGTTATATGGTCCAGAGATGGTATTCTTTCGAGCACGATAACTAGTAGGAGGTGGGCTGTGGCTAGATGCGTCGCTACGATCCCTATCGGAAGAATGACTTGCAAGAGATAACGAGGAGCCTCCCATTGAAGTATGATTACGTCTAAATTTTTTGCTGCTTCGGGAGAATATTGTTTTTCCGAATAGATTTAAACTATCGGGTCTATCTTTCGTCGCCATGCTACTGCCGTTTGATCTACCGGAGGACTTTCGTTGTAATTCGATTCTGTTGGAGGAATCGAGACTGGATTGACGGGAGCGGAAAGAGGAAGCTGATGTGATAGAAGGGGTATTCGATTTGGCAGCAAACGCTGAGCCCCTCCTCATTTGCTCAGTGTATGCGCGAATACCATGAGGTGAAGGTGGTCCATCAATGGCTGGCTCGAAGAATTCGACAGACGGGTAAGTAAGGTGCTTAGAGGTTGGCGGGGTGTTGTCTTTTTTAGACATCTTCCTCTTAGATGATGGACGGTGGTTGTTAGGATATGGCGCTGAGCCCATACCTGCAGATCCTAGACCAAACATATTGAATTGAGAGTTGATTGATAGCTGTCAATGAACTTAATCGACGTTCTGTGGGGAGGATATATATCGAACAATGCGTTGACTACAAGGGAATCCCAACCCGATAAATTAAAAGAAATTGTGCTTATGGCTTCTGCTTCAGAAGACGCAATCATCGATATGGGGCTGATGAACAGGCTGTATCGAGGCACGTTGCAGCCACGATGACGCCTTTTTTGTTTCGGTGTTTGTCGATAAAAAAAAAGTTGAGGACTTTCAAAAGTCAACAATGAGGGCGGCAGCGTCCAACATAAAAGTGATGGATTGAGGATATCGGAAGACGCTCGGCTGGGGAGATATGGATCAGCGTGTGCCACAAATAAAATAGGCCTGTCAAAACAAGGGTTCTCCCCTTCAGGGTGTTTGTCAAGAAATATGGAGCAGGAAGCGTTTCTTCTTTAGCGATATAATCCAACGTCAGGGGTACTTTCCTCGGAACGTTGAATAGCGTTGTGAGGTCTGTGGAGACAATATAATACCACGAGGAAACTAGTGTGCAATCCCCCATAGGACGTGGATACCATCACAATACTCGCCTTGAGTCGCAGCGTTTGGTTCAACACTTAACATGTGAGTTATGATGTATATCATATGTTGAGAACTCTGCGTCCCCAGCTTTTTTGTTCGCAGTTGCGATTGGATGAGTTACAGTATAGAGGTAGCGAGAAGTAGATTGAATTGAAAGTATTTTTTTCGTATCGATCCCCTTGGTGCTGCATAATACCAAGGAAGCCGATTTGTCTGCTTTCATGCAATAACGGACATGTAAATTACCTTGAATGGTAATAGCGACCCGTAGTTGCAGGTAATAACATACAAATTGACCAATGATAGAAAAGCTTTTGGAAAAGAATTAAATTGAAAATGGCCCAAAGGAGGAATTACCAGAATTGAGAGAAGCAAGCAAGCCTGGGACTCTGGGAGCGAAGCTTTAAAGGACTGGACTGAGTAAGTGAGTAATCAGTAGAATGCTTTTGCTTGCAATTGTCAGCATTGATTGACTATGGAGCTGTGCACTCCAGTGTTTTGTTGTACGGTAGTTATGAGTAGCAACTGGCGGCAGCAATGTTGAACGACGCTGATAAAGATGCGACAATTGTGTTTGCTTGCATCAATACCTGTACCATTTTCTGAGTTATTGAATTGAATCCCTTATTTCAATTGATTCTCGACCAATCTAATAAAGGATCCCATCCCAATAGCTGGGTTAGAACCCATCCTTCGTCTCTCGCAGGGTATCGCTTCTGAACAGTGCCATCGCTGAAATCAGACGAGATGAACGAGGCATGAGGCATGGCATAAGATGCGAGGTATGAGAGGCACGAGGAGATTGATTACACTCTGCTAGCTGGCTGCTGCAAAGAGTTAAGGATTTGTGGGTGGGATGAGATGGGATGGGATGGGATGATTGCTAGGGTTGGAGGTCAAGGTTGACAATATTCAAGAAAGGCAAAAATGAAATTGTGAAATGTAAAATGTGAAATGTGAAATGTGTGTAAGATTGAATTATTTTAGCCTGGTTAGTAAGGTATCAAGGTATCAATGTAACCGAATACAGTTAGTGACATTTATTAGTCACTTGTTTAGTATAGAAAGGATAGAAAGTATTCGAGTGGTACCCTACTTATATGCTAATAAAGAATACTTGGTAGGTACTAATTAATAGGATTAATAGGTGGACTTCAATTAACAGAGAAAAAGAGTTCTGTTCTGTCTTGTGAATTGAATTAATCAATTAATTCATTAGATATTTTAATTGGTCAATGGTAAATGTAATTCATTAAATTCATTAAATAAATACCCAATGTTTGGAATATCTCAATAGTCAAGACTCAATCAAGACTCAATCAAGACTCCGTCACAACTCCGTCAAGACTCCATCAAGACTCTCAATCTCACCAACATGTATGTCTTCTTGGGTTTCACGACAGTCTGTTTGGTCTGTGGTTCAATCGCTCTCGCTCTCGCTCTCGCTCTCGCTTTACCTTTACGCTTCTGTCCCCCCTGCTCTTTCCTCTAATAACTTTGGTTCCAGGCTCCATGTCTCTCCAATAATCAATTCCTACCCTGCACATTGCAGATGATCCTAATCCCGTCCTCTTTCATAACAGGAAGCTCCTAGAAGCACATCAATAATCAAACCTTACTTACATACCAGATACATGAATGGGAGGAGATCATCTCATTTCATTAAGGATATCACCGAAGGATGTCCAGGCGGGAAAGTCTATTTCGAATTCTATTAGGAATCTCTTGGAATATCAAAATTTACATGTCTGCATCGACGATGTTGAGAGAGTATGGCATTGTGCAATCAATCCACTGCGTTTTGATGGTTTTATTATTATCATCATCGTCAGCATCGTCTCCCTGGATAGCCAGAAACGAGAAGCCAGAACCATCCATAGACGAGAATGGATATCATACGGCACGGAAGACACATCCGTAGCCTGACGCGTACGATATAACGCTTGCTTCCGTCTCCTAACTTACAAAATGTCTTGCACAAAATTCCACGATTCGTGCAACTTCGCAAGTGGCCGTTCAGCAATCATCCCCCCGTTGGGCGGCCAAGATATAGCGGCTGAAGTCGTGGGTCAACGGCAGATAGGTGTGGGCACCAACTGGAGACAATATTATTGATCATTTGGGAACTAATACCTGTATCATCGTATCCAAAATCTTTCGTACGCTTCAACTTTCCTCGAGAAGTAGTTCGTGGAGCACACAATCTTTACGAGTACCTGCATACAGAACAAAGCTTACCTTTCAGCTAACCCTTCCAGCTCACCATCAAGGCTTCAATATTTCCATGTTCAGCTCTGTGCATAAGGTACGACGACCGCAGTGATCATCCATACAGATACTACTGTACCCAGTCGTATGTGGGAATTAAAAGCTTACATACAATTCATTCTTCCGAGATCCAACCGATCTCCTGGAAGCCTCTTCATGAGTGGTCCACAAGAAGCGATTCCGAGAAATATGTATGCTCTCTCCAGCGGTGTGCCCTCGTACATTTCATTACTCAAAAGATGTAGCATCATTCACAATAATTGTCTCTGCATGACAGGCATAAGAGACACCATGACATTCATATAATTCCCAGTCATTCCCAGGAGAGCGGCTCATCCAATTTTAAGCGCGAACCTTTCAAGTCAATGATAGCTCAAGTATAATATAAATGCTTGGAAATGTGGAGATTGGGAGCTTCTTGGGGATTTGATTTGTTGCGAGGTGGTTGCAAAATGATGATGCAAAAGGGTTCCTGCAGAAGACATATGTTTCCTACCGCCTTCGAGAATAATTCTTGGGATGTTTGTACACCACGAGCTTCAGGGAAGTGTTTTATTCCACTATTGTTTATTTGTTTATAGGTCTGATTGCATATCTTGTGTACCAAAGACTCTGTCCGTCCGCACAACAATCTAACCCCTTGAAATTGATCTCCCTTGAAAAGCCTCCGAATGGATCAAACTGTTCATGGAGGGCCATGGAGGGCCATGGAGACCATGAGAATATAGCGTGCTCCGTGGAGTCGTCAACCGGACCACTGTCTTTGGCTATTTTGCACACTCCTGGTCAATTTATCCTGTTCATCCGAGGCCAGAAAGAGTCTCGACAAAGCAAGAAATCGATAAGAACGCTGAAATCCTGCCGAAATGCCTTATACCCTACTCGTCTAAAGTAAAGTTATTACACTTTGGTGCAATAACGTTCCCCGAGAGATTGTCACCAAAGCTTGGTAAGAAATTGATTGCCGCACAAATTGAAAAGATCGACTGGTTTGTTTGAATTGAATTATTTCTGAATTTAAAGTTCTTATTAGTTCATCTTGTCAACGGTAGTCTGCTAGCCAGGCCCGTAGGCTCGAGGCCGTTCGACCTTTCATAGTTTCATCAGCGATCAAACTTTCGCTCGGTCTCCGGGTGTTATCCTCATTGTCCTTAGGACCTAATAGTTCCATCTCCCAACGCTCTTGTTCTGTTATATCATTGGCAACAGCGGGAAAAGGTCTACGGGTCTTCTGCAAGTTAAACCTTGGACCCTGCGGGTGGTGCTAATACCAACCATGTCGCTTCCATGGGTAAGGAGGTGGGGTACTCCGAACCAGCTAAATTGCAAAAAGTAAAAACGGACAAGGAAACAAATCCTTCCCATTGCTCACCGCGGTACAAGGATTCTATATATCCTGAAGATCGTAAGGAAAAAGGTTAGGTGCATTATTTTCTGGCGTGCAAAGAAGATGTTCTCCGTAAAATGTAACTGTTCTAGCATTATCTGCAGGTATCTCTCTCAATGGTCGCCGATGACCGACCCTTCTTAACCTTTCCAAGTCTTGGGTGCAGCAAAATTTCCGTACACTATACTAATTATGAAAATGGGCTGTGGATAACTGCAGTAAGCCGAGCTTCAAGGGGAATGGGTCGCTTTTCCATCCACTCTTCCCCTCTTCATCCACTTTCACCCCCCGCGAGGCGCGAGGCAGCGATGATTTTCTACAGCAGACCAGTGCAGTGCAGTGCAGCACAACACAGTCAATCTTGTTGTTGATTAATTACCAAGCGTGCAATCTTATAGATGGTGGATACAAGCTGTACGTCGTAAATGCCATGACCTTATTCTTCATCCATTCTTATTGCATATGTGCATTGTTGATATAGATAAGTGTGCTTGCTACCTTTCAAAGGAGTAAGGAATGCAGAGTTGACACGAACAGCGCATGAGAAGTTCAAGGTTGATCGTAACTGTCCCAGAAAGAGGATACCCGTATAAAGTCTGGATTAATTGTCTCGGTATAACGGTTCAAAAGGGGGGAAAAGTGTTAGGTAGTGTGTTCGCTCGTGATGCGGAAATTCCGGATGAAGCAAGCTTCTGTTGGATCCGCTCTTGGATACGTACTGGATTCATTTCATTAATATGACCGAACGTACATGATAAGGCTGACTGGCTTGCTTCTGACAAAAATAGTCTCGAGTTAGGTTTAGGGCAAGCTTTGTTTGGAAAAAGGTATCATGATCATGATTCACGAATGACGATGTTACAGAGTTTGGATTTCTTTTTTGTTTCTTCGCTTGTATGATGTAGATTCTTCATTTATTCACAACGATCTATGTATCTGTCGTACCATTTTTATCTCTCATTGTTTCTGTCTCACGAGGATTCTCCCAGAAAGCAAAAGAAGAGAAACTCGGGAAATCCTTGACTTATGATCCACAAAATGGGTGAGGATTAGCCAGCCTATCAAAATCTGGAGCTCCGCAGAAAAGTAACATGACTGGAAAGTGTACCATCATTCGCACGACAGTCCAGTTTATCCACTCTTTCTGAGGTATCCTCGCTATTCTAATCCACTATCGTCAAATCCCATGGCTTTTCGTAATAGATTTCCCTCCTGTAGGAATCCCGTGTGTTTTTCTTTAGGCTATGCTATACCACGCTACACAATACTGCAGTGCGCATAGCCCCCAACGTAACGTGCGATGATCTCATACTGAAAGTCACTACATAGCCGACGATGGAAGATGTGAAGTTTTGGCACGCTTCACGTATGTATGTCTTGTCTTGTCTCCACGCAGAATCCACGAGTTCGTTTCAGTGTGACATTTTTTTGACAAATGGATCTACATGATTCGATTCATGTCTGCGGCAACGCTTTCCGGCGCGTCGCACATATCTCGACCTTTTTTTTCTTCTTGTCTCCATTCCTTTGTGAAATACCTAACCCTCGTATACACACGATAGTGAAAACTCTGGATCCGGTGTTTCACACTGGGTTTGCTTCACTTGAGCAAATACTGCGGGGACTCTAGACTTCTCAGTCTATATTCCAGACCCCTCGTCTCCTCTCCCCCGATTTTTTTTCCACTTGATCCGATTGATTCTGTGTTTGCTTGCTTGTTTTGCTCTCCATGAACCATGTATGTGCCCGGCAAGCATCTCTTCCATCCAATCCCCCACTGATAAACTGATTGTCCTGCCGGCCGCCGCGCAAACCCAAGAAATAAATAAAAAAACAGATACATACATCAAACAAAAAGCACCAAGTGGAGAAGTTCCGAAGCAAAGGCTCGCAAGGACGTTGCTTGCCAACGAAAGAAGCAAAGCGCGCGGTCTTCGATCTCTGACCGATCTCCCAGAGATCCAGATCCCCCTTCCCCCATCATTTGTTTCGCCCAATTCCTTTCGTTTACATCGTACCGTACATAGATAGATAAGCAGAAAAATCCCCTATCCATCCACCCATCCAGCTTTCATTGACCGCTAAGTGGGCGGAACCAAAGAATGGCATCTGCCTACGTCCGTAGCCATGCTTAAGCGCCCGTCTGCCTATTCCCCCATGAATGCATGTTGACATCTGCAAATATATATCAGAAGCCTCACCGTTACCCTTCTCTCATATGTATGTAAAATCGGATACTCGAGCTCCTCCCACAGACAGGTTACCTTATGCAAGGTACTGTGTACACTGCATCGTTCCATCTATCAGGAACTTCCCTGCACTCAGATCACTGCCGATTCTCCACAAATCTAATATCTGAGGGCGTTTCGTCATTTACTCAAAGTGTTACACGTATACATGTGGGAGGGAAAAAACGCGTTTGCAAATTCCTTTTCATAAGGCGTCCGGTTCATCTGATGAATGTGAAGAATTCGAGCGGATTCGAAGATGAGGCGTAACTCGGTGAAGCGTTGACTTTTGGGAGGACGGGGTCGAGAATGAAAGGTGGGTATGTCGTTCTATTTTCATCTACTAGCAGCTGGGATGGATGATCAAACTGACTTTTGGCATGAGCTTCCGGGATCTTCATTTTGTAATCTAGATGCTGGTGAAAGTCTATAATTTTTGGCCTGTTCATCGTCCTCTCCTGTCTTTTCTTTTTCATAATTTATGCTATCATGTGTGTGCATTGTGCATTGAATGTAAATCTCATTATTATGTCATTTCACATCTTGAATTCTCCAAATGCATAATCTCAATCTCGGACATCTAACAATTGAATTCCATTCCGTTGAAATCAATCATTTCTTGCAGAGTCTAGCAAGACCCCAAATCTCAATCCATCAATTTGGTACAGAGAAACCCGAAGAGAATTCAGACTCGATCAAGTCGCGAGATCAGATCTTCATGTAAATTATCTCCGATTCGATTCTCCCAAGCATCCTATATCTCAGCCTGATATAGATGAACTCACTCTATACGAAAGTATATATGGATCATGATTCACCATGCTATCGGAAAATCGGGAATCCTCAGTTAGGTTAGAGGGGTACGAAAAAAAATATTCATCCACTCATGAGAGCGATAACCTGGCTGGACATCAATCGGAACTTCCATATTAATGAGTTTGAGGAATATCAGAAAGCTACTCAATTTCATACCTCCCTAGATACAAAGAACAGATGGCAGGTAGATAGAGTTCTCTAAACCACGCACCCAGCAAATATTTCATATAGACAACTTTTCCGTCTCATAAACGCTTTACATTGATTTGTTTTGTTTTGTTTCAGTTCGTTTCATGCTTTTTAACTTTCCGTCCGTCCGTCGGCTTTTCTAATGCAGGGGATCCACCATCTGCATACCACACAACGTTTTTTCTTCCTGTCCTGTCCATCACTCCCAGTCCCAAGTCCACGGCAATATTCCTACTCCATCCCCTAAACCTAAGTTTCTAGTCCTGAAGTAAAATATAATGAGGACCTATCTAATCCGTGCTACACGCACGCCGAGCCCTTCTATATTGAGCCTAGAACGCACTCAACATCACGATCAGACAAAGCCCCAAATACACATTCCAATTTACTAGACCTATCATGTATTTCTTGGGCTGGTAGTACGAATGCATAGGGTAGCATCATTTAAACTTCACGAACGAACGACAACGTGGAAGGCGGGCAAGGTAAGACATGTTATTATTCCCAAAAGTAAGACAGGGCTAAGCTGAAGAGGACACAAAGTGCCGGTGCTCGGGCCGCAAGCATTTCGGCGCCACCGATGATGATTGCTTGGAATACCTACGTATTGTGGCAGTGGAGTGAGGCGGAAAAGTATAATCTTTTTTGATCCGTGATTGCTTTCGTGATTTGATTGGTTTGGATTGATGCATGGGGAAAGAGTCTGAGGATTATAAATGTGTTTTGATGCATGCATGCTGGGTGGGCGCTGACGAGGTTAGTGGCGATGAAGGGGAGGGAAATTGGATATGCATTATTTTGTAGTGAGATGGGTCGCTGGGAGATCAGGTCGAAAAGTGTAATTTTGAATTTGGGGATGCAATAGAAGGGGATGGAAGGAATTGAATTGTACTAAAATTTATTCTAGAAGGATAATCTGAGATATCGCCGTCTGAACTAATATTCTGAGGAAGTATTGAAGTTTAGCTGCTTTGTTAGCTGCTTCGTATGGGGAATTGGGTATGAAGTTGTTGCAATTCGGAAAGGAGATTCTCACGAGCTTTGATCTTCGTGTTGCGGAGATGATTGTGAGCATTGTCGATAGTCTTTTGTGGCTTCCTGCCGTTGATCTATTTTTAGTTTTGTTTCTTCGATTTACGGAATGGGTAGACTTCTAGAACAAGAATGTGTATAGACATAGACGGGTACGATAAGCTAGTTCATGAGTACGAGTTTGTAGATTTATCTCGAGAGTGAGTATGTTTGCAATTCCCGTGAGATTTCTGTGCATAGATTCCAGAAGTCTCGACTCGAAAAAACACTTGTATTGCCGGTGTTTTTTCCCATACATATTCCTATGTCGTTCTTCGTAAATCGGAAACGTGGACACAGCGTATGAGGACTTAGGGATGGTAATTCCGGTTCTCTCAATCGAAGTTCATCTTGATGAATGGGCCTGCGATGGACACTCTATGTTTCAATAACAAATAGCATATCCATATCTAGAGACACCGTAATAGCGTAGTAGTTTAATGCAAATATCGAATGTAAATATAGTGCAGATGAGGTATATACACTAAACATCTTTCCTCTCTAGTCCATCCCATCCTCGCTGCATTATGATCTCGATAGCAATTTTGACGTGAAGAATAGGAACTGAACAATAGTTCACAATCTTCCAAGACGAAGACATACCCGAACTTCCCGATCATTGGAAGCTGCTGGCGATACACCGTGAGATAATCGGGCGTAAGACAGCAAGAGGTATGTTTCTTGGATAGTGGAATAAGTTACCCGGGAGTTAAATCCTCAAGTTTCGGCATTCCTTACTCGAGTTGACTGGTGGGATTTAGAGAAGGCTCTTTTAACTTCTAGTCTAAAAGAGATACTTTCACCGCTTGTTGAACATTTTAAAATCTGCACCAAATCTCTCGGGATTTCAAATACACAATCGCACTCCTAGCTGAATGCTCTAGGTCTAGACCTATCTACCGTCTCTGCGGACAGAGAAAGGAATACGGAGTCCCTAGAAGGTTCGTAGGGAGCACACATGCACACGCAATTCCATTTTTCTTGGGGGGAGGGGGATTCTCGGTGTTCATAAACAACCTTGAAGTTCTACAATAATTACTGCAGCATGTTAAAACAGTTAGCGACTGTGAAGATGACATACCTTTCGAATCCAACATCGATACGGATTAACTGGGGTAACTCAAAATTTCAGAGCAAACTTTAGTCTGAAAGTCCATTGTTCGAGTTGCGGAAGAATAACCAGAGACTACGATATAATGGCAATTGGATGGGATTCTTCAATATCGCCCATCTCAGCTCTTCCCCATTTTGAGAGTGAAAAATCAAGTATCCAGTATCCAAGGTATTTCTCTAGAAAGCTCAGTCTTGAATCATCCTAGTGAAAGACAGAACGCGAAAAAAACCATAGCTAAAGACGATGTTTGTATGTAACCCCCTTCATTGGAATTCGGTTAACATTGTTCGCGTAGTCCAATCTAAGGTAGAGCTTTGGCCCGCAGCCTTTTTCTTTCCAAAGTTGGAGGATTACATGTTAACCTATCGTCAGACTAGTTCAACTGCGATGATTTCAAATATTCGTGGCCCAGGGTTTGAGAACTTTTTGTATCTTCGCAATATGTGAGAGTTTTCCTGGTCTTCGCATTATCAGTACAAGGAATGCGTAGGTTTTGATCCGTGACAATACTCTGCGTAGAACCTATCTTAGAGCTAAATTCTTCAAGAATCATTGATATCACATTAATCACAGAATATCTTGTATGGCATAGAAAATTTAGAGACAATTCGGGCATTCGCTCTCCGGTACGCATTTCGCCCACACGGGAACTTTAATGCTATCATCTATATATTGCCAACAAACATCTAGAACTTAACTAAGGAACTCGCCATGTCAATCAATGTCTAAACTCTCGAAGTATATCCAACAACAACAAGAAAATCAATTTAGACATTCGGGTGTATCTCAAATTTTTATAGAACCACAGTATCAGTGCTAGCATCTCGAATTACCAGTGAAACTTGGCTATCAGAATTATAGACATCCTCATAATTTATAGACCGAGCTAAAATCTATGCAGAATTTACGCTCCTATGAATCATTCTTCTTCAAGTCCGGATCAGTCCCTCTCGGAATCAGAGTCGGGAGCGATCTGACTATATCGATCATTATGTTTACTTGGCATCTGCCACCAGAGACTTCAAGCAGACTTCTAGGCATATATGCTGGATGATTCTCAAAGACGTTGAGACACCCTCACTAAAAGCAAGAAGAGTGACCGAAATCGGTGCATATTAAGAGAGAATACTCCAATGAAAATTGAAAGTTGGACTCTGATAATTTATGTCCAATTGAAGAACAAGCAATGGATTTTTGATTCTTTCCTGAATGATAGCGCATTAAGATCCCAAATTTTTTGAGATGGCAGACACCTGATGGTCAAAGAACAAGCAAATTTCAATCTATGCAGTCTTGAATACGTAAACTGAGACAAAATTCTTGCGAATTCCTCAGTGGGACTTGCATGCCATCCCTTTGACCGCCTAATTTGTATAATTTGCAAATATTATACTATGACCAACAGCTTCGTCTGAGTCTACTTTTCCAGACCCCTTGTTCTATCCTTTGCCACACTACTACATCCACCATCTCTGTAGCTGCTCTCAATTCAACCCCATCCTCGATTTGCTCCAGCTTCACTTGACAGACCCGAGATAAGTTTCTCAGCTGCGAATTCTTCCCTCGAACCCACTCTCCTCCCCCATAAAATATGTCCTATCGCGTGGTTCGCTTGCACACCGATTTTCATTAATTAGAGACTCCATCACGAAGAAAACCAAACTACAGCAAATGATACGCATCAAGTAGAAACATCATGACCGCTGGACACTTCCATGATTCAGGGAACAGTAATTGACGGTGCAGAAAAGGTTGGCGTGATTGTATGTGATGATTGTAGCAGTTATTTCGCCGCCGTGCTTCTACTCGTCTGTGGCAGCGGGCTAATAAATAATATGAAGCTCTGACTTGAATACCATTTAGCTTCTCCCTCAGATGAATACACAAATAATTTTAAGGTGCTTGAAAGACTTTACAGGTCCAATGAAATACAGTGACTTAGTCAATTTTTGTTCTGTGGCAGTTGGAGGTCTAGTATGCTTGAAACCGTCTTTAATTTTGTGCAAATAAACCACTAGTATGAAGAATTATGATTCCACTTATGACTTCAGTCGTTGTGAATACCGATAAAGAAACATAGGTTTCCAGTTGTTGCCATGACATGATTTTTAACTTGAGCATATGAAAGACGTGAATGTATGTGTTTCCGCGATAGCAAGATTGAATGAATGATATTGATCTAGAGACTGTCTACAACACTCTTGTGAAATATAGTATGTATTTTTGGGACATAAGGAATTTGATACAGAACCTGATGAGAGGGAAAGCTCATTCTCAAATGGTTCTGAGGATGAGAGGGTTTGGTTCAGGGTCGTTGCGGTGGGTGATCCGAGTAACAGAGTGTTATTATGCGGCATGATTCAAACGAACAAGCAGTCATAGTATGGAATAATTTGAGATAACAAATATTATACCGTACAGAGACCGATACAGCACAGCTATTGAACTGTATAGCTTTATGATTTGAAACATTGATATGCAGTCTCGTAATTTTTCGCACTTGCGAACGAGGGACAAATCAGTAGAAGTATCTGGAATACCACAGAGAGTTCCGGAGAAACCATAAACAATAGAGAGAGCAAAAAGACGGCATGATGTATCTTACAAGGCTTACATCTCCTTCCATGCAATGAAATAGAGGGAGAGTTAACAGAACATGAGGATGCAAAGGCTATATCTGAGCATGTTCAACGATTAACAAAAAAAGCTTAAGCTATAGGTCAGAGCTATCCAGTCTTTTGATATTATCATGAGCTTGATACTATGTATTGTCAAGGGCACCAAAATTCCAAAATGATGATCTCTGTAGATGTCTTACCTCCGTCTCTTCAAGAATTACCCTATCATTCCACGGACTTGTGAGCCAAACAACAGAAGACCTTGGAATCAAGTTTCTGCTGTGGAGCTCCTAAGGTTGTCGAATATATCGACGCATCGATTTGGTGACAGAACGAATTCGTTCCTTTAGTCTGTATATTGGGAGTGATCGTATATGTGATTGAAGCAATTCTTACCACCAAAGCTCCTGCCACAACAGAGTTTCTGCTCATTGACCCAAGATTAACTTCTCTAATGATAAATTGAGGTCTGCACGGGACCAAACGCAAGCCATCAGGTAAACGAAGTGTTAGCCGACGAGTAAGAATGCAGAGTCTTATTCTGCTATCATCAAAGTGTAGCATTGATAGGTCCGTCGTTTTGATGCTTTGTATATGATGATGGGGTGACAAAAGCATCTCACGATAAGGCTAGGAGCTGTGAAATGGCCTTCTCTTTTTGCTTCACTTAGTGCCACTTTTTGAGATTTCCGGTACATCGCAGGAATAAATCACAAAATTACTGGTGAATGAGGGTTGAGAATATTGTTGGTGAGTAGGAAACAGGTGACTGTCCACTAAGGCTTCATTGGGCCTAGCGCAGTAATACCTTATCCTCCTTATCTTCACAACGTTTTCCATTTTGTATCACCGAAGCAAGCATCGAGAAGCTCCAAGATGGTAATATTACAGTCACAACCGCTTCTACCGAAAAGGGCTGATTTTATTATAGGAAATATCGAGGCTTTTTGATATGGGATTGATAAATGCTGAAGGGAATATCCCCCTCCAGAGATAACTCGATTTCATCGCCATCGATATGGTTTCTTGCGTGATTGATCCCTGGACCTCGACGCAGAAATATAAAGTACATATGATTCCCATTTCTAAGACTCATTTGGTTCTTTCTTTACACGTTTCCGCTTTATCTCAGCACATTGAAGAATGCACAACAAGATGCATAGTTGTTTTCAAATGCATTGATTTTGTGGTGTAGTTAAAATGGTAAGCCATTACAATATTAAGCGGGAAGAATTAATTTTAAACACCCAGCGGTCATACACATCAATCTCATTTCCTTTTCCAGCTTCCAGCTTCCAGACCCTATTCCAAACTCTCCAAGCCCTCCAAACCTTAACATTCCATCATTATTACATCCTTCATATCCTTATCATTGACCCGATCACTTAGAAGGCAAAGACAGCGGCGACACCGAGAACAAGAGCACCTGCAAAGCTAGCTTTAACTTGGGCCCCAGCGCCGGTATAAGGGACTGTTGATGAGGTAGGTGATGGACCAGTAGCGGTGGCGTTGGAACCAGAGCCACTACTTGGTGCAGCTACGCCCGAGGTGACTGTGGTGGCGACAACAGATGATACTGGAGTTGAGGCTTGGGAAGAGACGGGAGTGGAGGCAGCAGTGGAAGAGACAACAGGTGACGACTCGGCAGCGGATGAAGAAGGAGCGGCAGCAGAGCTGCTGGTTTTGACGGCCGAAGAAGATGGAGCAGCGCTAGCAGAGCTAGCAGAAGTTGGTGCAGCAGATGAGGCTGGAAGAGCAGAACATGCGGCAGCAGCGGCAGCTGGAACGGCTAAACTGAAGTCAGTTGGATCGATTTGAAGCTCAAAATATACTACTTACTCAAAGCGACGGTGATACCACAAGAACTGATGACACAGGTTGTAGCAGCGTTTTGAATACTCGAGACGTTGTCAGGTAGACATTGGCAAGCTTTATCAGTAGCTCCACAGGTGGTCTTTGATTTAACTGCATCATCAATACAAGATTGTGCGCAAGCTGGAATTCCGCTGTCTTGAGCGAGAGCTAAGCTGGCAAGAGCCAAGACTGAGACGATAGTGAATTGCATTTTGACGGTTACTTTGGTATAAGGATTGCCTTAAAAACGAGTGGTTGGCAACAAAAATGATTGAAGATATACAGAGAGTCTTGATGTTTGATTTTGAAAGACGGTTGGAGAAGTAAGTAACCCAGAACTGCAGATGACCGCACTTATATATCTGTGAACAAGTCTAATACGAGAGTCAATTTAGGAAGATATTCTATAATGTCTAATTACTCCACACTCTGTAGTAAATGACCAGCCAAGAGACAACCAACAACTCGTTTCCTATTTTGTAGCAATACCCGTCAATGGTGCCAACGAGCGACAAACAGGGTATCGAGTCAGCTTGGAGAAACCCGGCCACTTGTGCGGAGAACGCTGTTCGATCGAAAAGTAGGATCAACAAGCTCCAGAGAGCTTGAATTACGGCAAGGGGGTGTTCAACATGTCCACTAAAGATATAGCAAGTGTTACATACTTAGGGCAATGTATCGCAGTGATTGGACATGGCTAACAATCGATCAATCAAATTTAAGAGGCAACTTCTCATTGTGATGCAGGAACGACATTACTAACATTTACTGCCGAAAGAGCCTTCCAATGGCACCTCCTATTTCAACTATTTCAATTGTGGCCAATATTCAAAGTTCGTATTCCTCATATTTTACTACGAAAAATTTAGAGGCGGGAATATTTATTGGACTCAATTTGATTGGGGCAAAGTCTGGAGATTCTGGGGTATGACAAGGATGATTATGCACAGTCTGGGGTAATACGCCAACCAACCTTTACTACACTACACTTTACTAACCATATCGGCAAGTTTCTCCCGATACCGAGGAAGACATCTTTTTGACATCTGATCTTACTTGCAAGTAAGAAGTTACCACTCAAGCCACTCGAGCCACCAAAGCTTCTGGATCACTTTTTCCTATCGAACTTCCGAATTTAAGCTGTTGCTTCTCTCGAGGAAAAATCCCCCTTCTTCCCCCTTCGTAGCATTTTTGCTACAAGAATATTCTCCGAATGTATGCAGTCATCCGAATACCAAAGATTTGACATTAAGTTTTTGAAGCAAGGCTTCGCAGCGTACATACATAAACAAGAGTCTGGTTGAAGCTGACAAGGACAAAAGAGACTGAAAGTAAAACCCCTCAATGTTGTTTGGCAAATTAAATTGAAGGAAAAGATTCACCACCACCACCAACAATCAATCGGTCCTAAGTCTGTGCAAGTGTACACTTTCGGAAATCTCAACAGATCCCTAATGAAAATCCTGTGCCGGGGTCCTAACATATTGTGTTGATTTCTATTCACGGCACGAATCAAATCTTCGTTTTCAGAAATCGAGTCGGAAATCATCCTAGTTGCTAAGTGTAAACTAGAAGAGATTCTTATCGAGTCAAGAAGGTATCATACGACCTTTTAGTTTCTATTATATAATTGCAACTGAGATCTACGATCATTTGTCAACTTCTGAACAGTATTAATTTACATACTATGGCATTGGACTTTAATGACGGTTGTGATTACTAGAAAGATGTTAATCTTGGATGAAGAGAGCATACGAGTTTTCGTCGAATACGATCGCGCATAATGAGTTGTTACATTGCTTGTACCTGATCTACAGTTACAGTCTGTGTTAGCTGACCGAAATAATTTAGGGCTCACGGAGAAGCCCGAGCAACGTGCGCGAAGAAGCAGGATATTGGAATGTCGACCTTGAGTTAATTTCACATGTCAAATCAACTTGATGTTGGTATCTTTGGGTACGAAGTGATTCTTCTGCAAAAAAATATTTATCGGTATTGTTGTTGAGGTTCACTTTCGATTCCTAAATACCGTAGTTGCACAGACAACTCGCTATGTTTGAATTTTGAACAAACCATCAGACGTTTCACCATCAGTACGTCTCAAAGCTCGAGCACTTGTCGCTTTGAAATTGCACTGGTTTTGAAAATTCCCGATATCTTACTTTGATCGTTCTAGTCAATTATTATCTAACTGTCTAACCTTCGTCCTCTCCGCCAGTTGTCGGACGATGCACATAAATCACACACCAATTCAAAACACACAAACCGCCGAACTCCTGGTATCAAACAAACAAATGTCAATTGTATCGGGACTCGGGATGTACTGCCACGAAATCGATATGTGGCATCCTCCTGTACTCTGTTAGTGACGATATATTTGATGCTAGGACAGTGTACAAACATTATTGCTTGGGCGAGTTTGATTCCAACTCAGCTAGCCATGTTATTGTTCAATACTTGATCTCGAAATATTCCCATCGAACATCTTTGCGTATCCGCGAGGAGATTCACGACCAGAACGGAGCAGTCCAATGGAGGTGTCTTTCAGAGTAATAAGGCTACCAACTGGTTTGCTCTTCCTCATTCCATTGAACCATGCGGTCCCTTTTCTTATTGGCTGACTTCGCCATGTCATACTGTTTTCCTCGTTCTGCTCAGTGCTTTATAACATTAGCATTCCATCTTTGCTTCGATATATATGTTGCTGTGTATACTTTGCTGAGTATGGTACAATGCCATATTGCTTGAAGAATTTGTTCTTTTGTGATAATTTCCTCTGCATAACTATTTCACTGCTAACAGAAAAGGATCTCGTAAGATTCGTATCTACGGTAGATCTCATGTTCAAATCGTGTCGCGCGCCGTTGTTACCAGTTGACTCATATCGACCACCTTGATTTGAACAAGTGGACTGATTTGAACGCATGGGTCGAAATTGAAAGGATGTTCTATTAGGCATCTCGATTATTGTCGATATTTGGTATAAAATTATTGCAAAAAGCCAACGAGAGGGTCGTTTTTTGAGAAACTTCGAGGATGGATAAGCAAATATTCTTGTGCGGATAGTGAAAAGCTATCCTGAAAAAGGTTCCACCACACATAGGTCTCGCCCACAAAACACAGACCGTTCGAAACCCATCGTGTCTGTAGCAACACAGTATAATAGCATGATATTATCACTTATTGCATGATAGTGCACAGTCGTCTTGATCTTTGGACCCCTCTTATTTGCTGACAGAGCGGATAAGGCGGAGTCTGTGCATTCCGGTGCATGGTTCCCTCGACGAATTTTGAGAGGCAAGGTCCTTCTCAAACAGTTTAGCATCTCATGTATTCATGCCAAAGCGTTCACAGACGAATTAAATTCCACCTGTCAGATATAAAATTTCCGATCTCTCTCACAAAATGTTTCGTTTCTTGTTTGAATAGTAGGTTTTCGTCCCATAACGAACCTCTATATAGAACTGCATTAAAGACTTCTTACGTGGAGTGTTGAATAATGAAAGTGCATTATGGTTCGTGTATTTGGTGGGAGAATTGTATTTTTACTTTGCTTCTCGTTAGCACTGACCGATACGGTAAGAAGTGCGAGATGGATGGAATCAATAAGTTTGTCTGTCGTCGTAGTCTATTGATTGACCTGTTGACTTTTGCATCTTTTCCTTCACTTAATTTTTCTTTTCTTGTTCACTGTGCGAAGCGCCCTTGATGGGCTAGCTAACGACTCATCAATTTTCTAATGTTTTCTTTCTGCGATGCTAGATGGAGGATATAGATTTCCTTTTAAAATTCTTAAAAGCAACATGAATAAAAGAGACGAAGATCAGAGTCAGGATAGTCCATTCGGCATACCTCAATCTTCAAATAATGATGGAACGAAAAGTAGTAATAATATCCCCTCCACAACGTCATCCACAAGTGCTCCCGACCTTGAACCTCATCTCATTGCCTCTCCAGCAAAAGGTTTGGACCCAGGTTATATCATCGGCATAATAGTCGCAGTTGCTGCCACCATCTTTCTCATTATAGCTTTAATCGACATCCTCCTTCTTTCTTCCCGTATCCAGAATTCTATATTGAGGAATAGATTCCTGAGATTAAATGGGAGGCGGCAATCTGACTCTTCGCAATACTACTCTCGAAGGAATGAAAAATTAGATAAGAAACCTTTACCTACAATCCCGGATCCGGCGTATTTTTCAAAGGATATTAGAGCGAGTGATAGAAGGAGGAGTGACTTTTCGGGATACTCGGAGTCGAGGTACTCGAGAAGTATGTCTTTTGATAGCGGGGTGGGATGGGGTAGAGATGAGGAGGAAGGTTATGCGAAAAGTGTTATTAGGGGTGGAAGAGAATGGGATCAGAAATCTATGAGATCGATTGCGAGGTCTGTGAGGCAAGAGAGGGGGGTTAAAGATAATGGTATAATCAGACCGGGCATGGTAGTTGGGAAAGGGGACGATGAGGGGGAGGGAGAATGGTCTTCGATGTATGAGGAATCGATCTATACAGACGATGGACGAGAAAATCCAATTCCCGATACTTATAATCCTCTCTATCCATCTCACACCCCTCACGCATCTCAATCTACAGACCACAGAACACAAAAACCATACGACAAAGAGAACACAATGGGATTAACCACCAAAGAAAGAGCAGAGATCAAACGAACGAAAACGACTCCATACAAATATGAAGGAAGAATCAAAGCGGGAATGGGCGTGCAGAAAAGACATACGATGATTTTTGTGAGGGAAGTGGAGGAACTGAGGAGGGCGATGGAGAGGATGGAGAGGATGGAAGAGAGGGATCGAGTGAATTTTGATATTTGGAGGAGGTTTTGGAGGAGAGGGGGGGAGGGGATGGGGGGGGAATATTGATGGGGGTGAGGAGTTATAAAGATAGGAATTGGTGAGTAGAGGGGATTGGGAAGAGGGATTTGGAGATTTTATACTGAGGTATGGAAGTGAGTTGTAAGGTGTAGAAGGAGAATTGAAGAAAAAAATGGTTCTTGTATATACTATATAGCGATTTGAACTAGATGTGAGATTCGAAGTGGGATTGAACTAGTAACTTGTGAGCAACCAGCTGGATATCTGGAGCTCGCTTTTAATTGATGAATTATATGATAGATGATATTCTGATCCATCAATAAATACTAAGCAGCTTAATGTAGGTATTGACGTATTTAACAGATCGCACTTTGAATTTTCTCTGTAGTTGATTTGATATTAGATGAAAGATGGATATTCCATTCCGGATCTCTCTCTCTCTTTCTCTTTCTCTCTCTCTCTCTCTCTCTTTCTCTTTCTCTAGATGTGATAAAATTCTCCTGTTCTCGAGGATGAGATGATCGATTGAGTTTTATATAGTATTATAGTGTTTTATCACCAACCATCACCCTCAACCCCCGACCTCCCAAAGAATCCAGAATCCAGAATAAATCCACTCCCCATCCCATCCACTCCACCCCATCTCAAATCTAAAACTCGCATAAGACTCCTTCAGACTCTTTCACAATCTTTCATCTTTCGAATCTGCTCTACTCTGCTCTCACTCAGAACACAAACACAACACCGGAATATCCATCAAATCCTGCTTGTCACGTCTTGTATTTTGAATCTCCGTCTCCATTTCCGTTTTTAGATGAGGTAACTAACCTTGGTGAGTAAGTTGATGACTCTCCGAAACTATCTATGTATACCTATCGATGACTTAATTGTTAGTAATTCTTCATCATCATCATCATCATCATCATCATCACCAAATCACCATCCACCAAATCACACAGGCATACACATACATCTATGCACCAATTTATAAAGAGAAGATATTTTCATTTGATTCTATTCTATACTATGTAAAAAAAGTAGTGAGTAGTGTGATATCATCAGATACATTTCTATCCTCCCCACATTCCATTCCATTCGATCCCATCCCATCATGAATCAATCAATCAATCCATGTTTCCAATCATCTCTTTCTCCCTATCTATCATCTGCATCTCCAAATCTATAGTCAAATTCCAATCCCATCTTATATCAAGCCATGAAGCTCAAGCCTAATATAATCCCCCGGCCCACCCTCACCCCAAAAACGCCATGGCATTGCCGAAAAAAAAAGACCCTTTTCTATCTATGGTCTCATGACCCCATTAGAAATTTAAAAAGAGGTGAAAACTCCCATGAGGTATCTCTGCGTAACGCTGATCACATCTGCAACCATTAATATGCATTTCAAAAAAGTTCAAATCTCTTTTCCATATCAAACATTCCCTTTCTCTCCCAAAGTCCCATGATTCCTTTACTTATGTCTTCCCAGACTCTGCAAGTTGACCAACTCCGAGTATCTACCTCCCTTGTGAATAAGTTCTGTATGTGTACCACTCTCTACAACTCTTCCTTGATCGAAAACATAGATACAATCCGCCTTTTGAATTGTACTCAATCTATGCGCAACAGCAATTGTAGTTCTTCCCTTTGCCGCCTTATCCAATGCTGCTTGCACAACATGTTCACTCTCCGAATCCAAAGCACTGGTAGCCTCATCCAACAACAAGATTTTGGGATCACGAAGTAGAGCACGAGCGATAGCAATTCTTTGTTTCTGACCACCAGACAACATGCTTCCTTTAGAACCAACGATTGTAGAAAATCCATCCGGAAGTGACATGATGAAATCGTAGATATTAGCTTCACGACATGCGAACTCGATTTCGGAATCGGGAACATCTTCGCGATCGGCTCCAAGAAGCATATTCTCACGGATTGTGCCTTGGTAAAGGGTTGGTTCTTGAGATACGAGAGCAATGTGCGAGCGGTAATCGTTGATATTCAAAGTGGAAATTTCCTTGCCATCGACGTAGATACCGCCAACGAGAGGATCATAGAAACGTTCGAGAAGAGCGATGGTGGTGGATTTACCGCAACCGGAGGCACCAACCAAAGCAACGTATTGTCCAGGCTTGACTTGAAGGTCAAGACCACGGAGAACTGGCTGTTCCGGACGAGTGGGGTAGCGGAAATGAACATCACGGAATTCAACATATCCTTCCATGGACTCCATACGCTCTCCGTCGTCAGACCAAGAGTCAATGGTGGGTTTGAGATCAAAGAGAATCTTGAGTTCCTGGGCGGCTTGCTTGGCTTTACCCATGTCCGCTACGATTTATTAGCTTGATATTTTAGATGATAAATAGATAGAATAACTTACGTGCGAAGGAAAAGATGGTTCCAGCAGATTGGGCACCAAAGACGACAGCCGAAAAACAGACGAAGAATTGGAACATAGTGTACTCCTTGTTGGCAATGCGTTGGCCACCATACCAAAATCCAAGTGCAACACAGAGGAACATCAGAGATTGAGATGCAGCATAAAGCAACGAAGACTTCAAAATTGACCTCAGACTCTTTTGTTCTTGAGCCTTGAGAGAATCGGTATAGTGAGCGAGGACATCGTCTTCTCTAGTCAAGGATGCAACTGTTCGGATAGCACCAGTAGCTTCACAAGCATAACTAGCACTCTTCTCATATGCTTTCTTCGCTCTTTGTTGGAATCTAGCCAAGAGCCAGAATCTAAAGAAACCACAACCAAGTAAAACAGGAATAGTAGCGATACACACAAGTGCCAACTTCCAAGCAATAGCGAGAGAGAGCGCGCATGCAGCGATAAGAGTAGTAATGACTGTCAAGAGCGTACCCAAGGTGACTCCAGATAAACCTGCAACGTGAGTAGTCTCAGTACTCAAGAATGATGTGAGAGCACCTGCAGTGTGTTCTTCCCGATCGAAGTATTGAATATCCTGGCGGAGCATCGTACGGAACGCACGGTCACGGACTCTGTGGATGAGTCTCTCTGAGCAGAAAGCAAAAGCAATACCCTGACCACAGAATGCAATGAATTGAACAAATGCCAACATAAGGTACATCAAAGACCAGAAATCGACATCGTGCCTGATTGTATGGAAATTGGCAGGAATAACGGGATAGGAAAGCGAAATGATATTCTTGGCGAAGAACACGGCTTGAGTTGGATTACCTCCACCGCAGATGATGGAAAAGAACAAACCGACCAACATCAGTCTCCATTCAGTTTTGTTGAACGAAGCAATCAACTTAATCAACGTCCACAATGAATCATGTTGTTCAGAAGGGGAGATCTTGCCTTGAAGTGCGAGAGAGGACTGGGATTTTTCTGTCAATGTTCGCATTAACTTGTTGAGGATATTCTTGTCATCTGGATCCTCAGTGTATTCAATTCCTCCGACCTTGTTAGACATTTTGCGTACGAGCTGATCATCTTTGGCGTCAATCTCCGCCTCTTCCTCAGCAGACATTTCTTTGGTTTCAGCAATCTTTTGCGCTTCGATCAATCTATAGTAAGCACCTTGTCGAGCAAGTAAATCGTTGTGGGTTCCTTGTTCCACGATGCGTCCTTCAGTCATGACAACAATGTTGTCAGCGTCCTTGATGGTGGAAAGTCTATGAGCGATTGTAATAGTGGTTCGTCCTTCGGCAGCGACCTCAAGAGCGGCTTGTACAACACCTTCAGATTTTGTGTCAAGAGCGGAAGTAGCTTCATCGAGTAGGAGAATCTTTGGGTCGCTGACCATAGCTCTTGCAATGGCAATACGTTGCTTTTGACCTCCAGAGAGTAAACTAGCTCTTTCCCCAACATTTGTCTCGTATCCTTCTGGTAAAGCGCTAACAAAGTCATGTGCATTGGCCATCTTGGAAGCTTCAATAACCAATTCTCTTTGACGTTCTTCGTTTTCATGTTCAAACTTGGTTCCGATAAGTCCATGTCGAATGTTTTCAAAGATACTGGTTCCAAATAATGTAGGTTCCTGGCTGACTAAGGAAATCTGTTGTCGTAACCATCGCAAATTCAAAGTACTAACATCATGTCCATCAATCAAAACCTGGCCACCAACGGGATCGTAGAATCTCTCCACCAAACCCACAATAGTACTTTTTCCAGACCCAGATGCACCGACAAGAGCCGTCATTTTACCAGCAGGGATAACCAAACTGACATCGTCCATAATTGTGACCTCAGGTCTGGATGGATAGATGTGCTTGATGTTTTTCAATTCGACAGTTCCCTCTACGTGATCGAGTTTGATACCTTCAGTAGAGGTTGGATCCAAGGGAGAAACACGGTCGATGGTGTTGAAGATCTTCGCGGCAGCGGAAATAGCAGTAGTGAAAGCCTGGGCATTAGGAGCAACATTTCCAAAAGCAAAAGCTCCAATCATGATAGACATCAAAATTGTGAGAATGTTGGAGAGAGTGATCTCTCCCTTGACAAGGAATCTGGATCCCATCCAGAAGGCTAGACCATAATTAAGATAGATGACTAAAAACATGCCTCCAACCATGATAGCTAAAGAAAACTTGGTTTTGTAGCCATATTTTTCAGCCTCAGCAAGATGTTTGTCATATTGACGTGCGAGTTTGTCTTGGGTACCAAAGGCAGTGGCATTTCTGATGGATGAAATGACTTCTTCTGCGATAGATCCTCCGGTAGCATAGGACCCAAGAGATTGTTTGCTGTACTTAACGATCCACCTGGAGCCTCCTCCCATGATAACGGTGATAGCTGCAACGGTAGATGTGAGAATAAGGGTCAATTTCCATGACTTGATGAAACCGATCACAAAAGCAGTGAAAAATGTAGCCAAGGCATTGATCGTCAAGCCAACCTTTTCGGAAATACCATCTTGAACCAAATTGGTATCAGCGGTGATTCTTGTGGTAATCTCGCCGCTTCCCAATTTATCGTAGAAACCAATGTTCATGCGCAAGCAAGCCGCCAAGTATTGTGCTCTGATCTTTCCACTGATGTGTTCACCGACGTAGATGAAACCAACTGTCGAAATGTAGATGGTGGTGAACTCAGCGATGGCTAGGTAGATGAAGTAGAGAACCATATGGTTAATGGTATGATCGAAGTCAGCTCTCGTAGATTGGCCTGCAAAGTAATCTGCAAAGGTTCCCGCCAATTGACCGAAGATAACCGTCATCAAAGGTAATGCAGCTCCCGCCGCGATACTGCAGATGGCGCTGATAGCCATGATAATGATATCATTTGTCGTCGAGAAGCGATACAAATTTCCAACACCCGAGGATAATTCTGGCAATTCGACTTGGCGTTTTAATATTGCCGCCTCGTGAGGAGGAAGATGTGCGTAGATATCCTCATCCTTATTGGGGGCAACCTTGATAATGTTTGTATCTAATTTCGAGAGATCATTCTCTTCCGTTGGCAAGACCTTTTCTCCTCCCCCGACCTTTTGATTGTGTGTGGAATCATGCTCAGATATGGATGAGCCCCCATTACTGGATGACAGACTCCCCGACCCCGCGGTCTGGGGTTTCTCTGACAATTCGCCAGCCATGATTGGCGGCTTGAATAAAGTTTATGGATTCGGAGAAGTCGGCAATATGTGCACACGATTCGATGGGGATTCTGTTGAAGATATATGTAAACTGCTGGTAGTGTATGCGACCCTAAAAGTTTCTTGTAATTATTCTTCTTTCATGTGTCGACGAGAGAGAGAGAGAGAGAAAGCTTCAATCAATAAATAGACTGTTGTCGAAGTTTCCGAGGATTGTATCTTATCTGAGGAACAACTGAACTTTGATGCAATTAAGTAAAAAGACGAATAAGTTTTTTCGAAGAGAGTATATTATTAGAAGAAACCTTTGATGGTTAGTTAAATCGATTAATAAGTACAAAATGGAAATGAAGTCGAACTTAAGGAAAGGAAAGTGAACAGGACGGGAAGGTTGATTATATTATATTTATTATATTTATTTATTTATTTATTTATTCATTCATCCCAAAATGTATTTTCCCATTTAATCGATATAGAGGGAGGTAAGATACCTAGGTAGGTCCTACTCAATTAGTCAATAATTTCATAACTCTCACACGGAATGTTTAGATCCCGAGGCGCGGGCGATTCAATAACCCCGTTTATGACTAGGCTTAGCTAGGTTGACTGGATTGACTGGGTTGATGACTGGGGTAAGCATCCACCTACTCACAACTTATCATCTTGGAAGGACTGGAGAGACTGAGGTAAGGTTGGCTGTTGGTAGGAAGGAAGGAAGGACTAGATTTCGAGGAGTCGAGTACGGAGAGTAGTAAAATCTGGTAATCTACTGGGTAGTGATCTGGCAATCTGTTAATCTGTTAATCTTCGTAACCTTAATTATGCTGCGTAAAGTGCTTGAATTGCCTCCATTGCTGTGCTTGGTGGGATCCTTCATTGTTTCATTGTCGTTGGTACGTCCCATTCTTCAGAAAAGTCGGACATCAGGGAGCTACCGACTGTGATAGTAGAAAGTATCATCGTAGGGAGGAAGTATGATGATCACACAAAGTATGATAGATGATAGATCTTCTCGTAATTGGCTTCTCCATTCACAAATTGCATCGAATTTTGCATATACTCTGAACTATCTGGACTATCTGGACTAATCCTGCTACGACTATTAACTACTCCGGAGGAGGTATTCCAGTTTACGAGTATATTGACACTTCATCCAAGACTCGAGTATATTGTGTAAGTAATATCAAGACATGATGCGCATTGGGAACGTTGGAACATTACTCTTACCTCTTCCCTCTTCCCTCTTCCCTCTTCCCTCTTCCCTCTTCCCTATTCACCTACCTACCTCTCTCCTCAGAATCAATTGATATCTTTTTGTTTTGTTTCACCAATGATAAAACCAATCTTTCATAACTCCTCCCTACAATCGGAGGTATCTGATCATCTATTCATCTATTCATATCGAAACTATTCCTCACCATGTCCTTTGAAACGCCACCATATGATTGCCCTTCAAAATTGGAGATTACTGTATCAGTGAGTATGTCTATCCTCGTATCCCTCGTATATCTGCATGTTGTTTCCCCTCACGACTCAAAGTCAAGATGTGATATCGATACACCATTTCCATTCTTGCGAACAAGGTTCTTCGGATTGAAATGCTTAACCTTACCTACCTACCTACGTATGCTCATCAACTTCGTCAACCTCTTCAGCCCACCTACCTCCTCGGACGTGCTTAGTTAAGATTTGGCTAAAAGAAAGGAGAGTCAGAGCCCAACCAACCAATCCGAGTAAGGGAAGGAGAGAATCCGAGCCAGCCAACTCAAAACATGAGATATAGACACAGATGCGGCGATTGATGATCAAGCCGGTTTGAACTTGGAACTTTCGACATGAGACGATGGATGTTACTCATTATTGATTTTGGACTATCCTCATTCGCCCGTTACCTCTTCACAAGTCAAAATACAAATCCTCGTATGAATCCTCACTCATTCTCCAACTAATAATGCAGTTGATCCTGTCAAAAGGTCAAAACTTGGAACGTCCGTCTCTATGTCCGTTGTCCTTTCATCCTCCGTTATTATCATTCTTACATCCGTTACTTCTATCCCGTATCTCTATCCACTGAAAATCCCGTGTCCGCGCAATCCATTCCTTTTACGGCTTTTCAATGGTAACACAGAGCGTTCAACCACCCACCCACCATTTCATGCATCTTCGGAAAGAAACACGACGTTTGACAGGATAGAAACAACGTGCATATGTTCTCATCCACGCAATCGCTATGAGTCAAATGGTATAGATCCTATTTCTAATTGGACACTTCGTTTGGACTTGACTTCACATCATCATCATCGTCACCATGTCATACGAACGTCCGTCGCATTCCTTCACATCAATAACGGCATGCGACAGTTTATCCATTTATCCATCTTTTATATGCACATAATATTGCCCAATTCAGCCATTTGAGTACCATCTCAGTTCAACAACTCAATCTGATCGTGCTCCATCTAATAATGAATCTTCGGTCCCGATATCATCAATTGATCTCACCAAACCAAAGCCGGGTAAGGATTCAAAGTTTTAATCAAATTCAATATCTAGATAATCTGGATACTAACCTAGGTAACCTCGTAGCGAACTCCTCTTCCAGGAGAATACGTCGTACTTAGGGAGCCAATGTTAAAACGACCGCCCCTGTCTCATCTTAGTTACCCCACTAAGTAAGAGCTAGGGAGGATGGAAGTTCAATCCATTGAAGCTTTTCGCTTTTCTCCCACCTACGGCGTATGTCTACGTCCGTTTGGTACTTTAGACTAGGAGACCAGGTAGGTAGACATCGGGGAAACGGGATCCGGACGTATCAAGTCCGTTTCTTGGCTTTCGGAACTGGATGCGATTGGTGAAAGACTCATTGCTCTCGTTTGAAGGACGGACCTCGGGATTATCTACTACCTGTGTGTTTGGCCACCGACCAAGCAGCCAAATTCATGTAAGTTGCATAAAATTGTGATCTAGGTGGACTGAACTTTGGAATGAATGCTGGAAGAGTGGACGAATGTGTCAAGGGAGCTGGAGGCAAATGTAAATATTCATTCTAGAAGGCGTGAAGAAGATTCTCTCTCCTATTTTTTTTATATATAATGTCAGTCCAATACTTCAAGCGCGAAGTTAAACCTCGCATGATAATTGATCAGAGTCCCCCCCCTCGGGTATACTTGACGGTGTACTAATTAATGCATGCACTTATTTCTATTCTCACGAATGAAGACCATCTAGACGAATTGGAAGATATCTCAAATGTATGATTCAAAAGGAAAGGATTTCCCAAATCAAAATTAGATGATTCTTTCTTGACAACACCATATGAATGAAGCAAAGCAAGATCTCAAATCTAGAAGATCTTTATGTAACAAAATTTATACAATAGCTTGATGAACACTGGGCAAGAACATAGATGATCAGCACAAGCATTTGATCTTGTGTATTGCGGATTCGTACTTGTAGTTGTGGAACACATGTGTTTTTATATTATGTATCTGGTACGTCAGTACTGCAGAAAGTCTTGAGTTGTTTCTCTGTTTGTTTTTTCTTTTTTTTATAGAATTTGACACCATTGAAATTTTCAGCTGAGATCTAATATCCTTTGCACATCCAACGTATGTGATGTGGGAGTGTAGGGATGTACGACTCAAAGTATATCCTCAATCATCTGATCAACCACGAGTGAACATCTTCACAATCTGTCTTGCAAACTCCGGTAGACTTCTAGAGTAGGTACTGGTGATATTGATACTATCTTCCAACTTGAAAGTTAGAGTCATAGTTGCATCGAAAGATATATTGTACGGTAATTACACTGCATCGAATCGCTATAATTTAGAATAAGAGCAACATACTTTTCTTAGCATCAAGTCATAGAAATCGAGCAGTCAAATATTATGTTATGAGGATATATGTATCGCGGTTTTGTGGTTGTGGGTGGGTTGGAGCAATTGATACTATCTTGCTAAACATATTGGACTGCATCTAGATCCATCTATTTTTTGTACTACGAATATGAACAACTTATTAATGTACATGTTTCAGAGCGTACGAGGAAGACTTTGTAGAGAGTATTTTCGACATTTCATATACCACAAGAAATCATCTATCCTCTTGCCTCTAGATATCCAGGTTTCGTTGATACCGTATGATTCTCTGATCCAGACCCTTAATGTTGGGGAAGGACCTTGGGGTGAAAGGGTGCATACGTTCCTTCCATTCAGTAGATAATAATAGTACAACAAGATAAGATAGAGTTTAGAAAGTAAATTGAAAGTGTAAAGGAGTGAATTTGCATTTCAAAGTCTTTGAACACTACATTGTAGATCGCAATCTCTCATCCCATTGCGCTCAAGTAAATGTCTGAATAGTTTCACGTTTTACTGATCACCTGACCAGATCTTGTCTCCAAGCTACATTGTCTCTCGGGTAACATCCAATCAGCAAGCTTCATCATCAAACACTTCACCGCCCAATATATTGCCATTAGCTATGGTTCACGATAACCATGAGGCTACACAAAAATCATCGCTCCCATCAAACCTTCGACTAACATCCACTGTGCCGTTTGAATCACATCGCCCTGGAGCTACACACACAACACGCATCCGTGCACATTGTCATCGCGAAGGAGGCCTCGATTTCGAGAAACTCAACTTCGATCTCGATTCTATCGAAATGGCCGGCGGAAAGAAATCGGGAAGGACGTTGATGCGGGAAGAAGGTCTAGAGCGAACAGATAATGGATTGAAACAAACCAGTTGGCCAGAAGCCTTCCCAATTAATCAGAAGAATTATTACACGTATGTATCTCACTTTCTTGCTTCTTGCCCTACGTTCTGGATTTCTCCCAATTCTTCCCATTCAATCTCTACCTTCCATTAACTTATAATTTGTAGAGAATTCGGAAAACGCGATGATCAATTGCTTGCATCACGTCTGCAAAATGAAGCCAATCAAGAGAAACTCATCCGCGATGCCAAAAATAAAGACAGAGCTCTTGCGCG